AGTGCACCTGCGTAGCTCGTTATCGCGCGAAGCTGTTAATACGAGCGATTGTCCGCTACAATCCTCTCGGTGATCCATGACTAATGAGGATGCGATTATAAATGCCATTTACATAGGACCGGTATGTGATAGATTGAGTTGCGTTACCTCATAATTACGTTCCTCGAATCCAAAATCCCTGATGTTTTACTCGTATCTCATATCTCGTTACGACGAGAACTGACATTAGCCGATTAGCGAGGAATCAGACGATTGATCATCGCAAATACGATTTTCAACATTTGTTAACATATTTTTTTTACAGATTCTTTATAGATCTTGATTTAATTAATTTTGACGTGATTACGTTTTGTGAAATATTTTGACATATTTAATTAGTTTAAATTTCAAATATACAGGACGTCCCATGATTGGAGGTCCATACTTTAAGGGTGTGTTGCTGATGCCATTTAGAGTAAAAAAAGCCTAATAAACATATGTCCGCAAATGCTTTGCTTTTGGAGGCATATGAAGTCGATGGTTTATGCGAAATAATCTCACAATAGGGATAAACTTATTAACAGAATTATGGATGCGGCAACTCATATCAGAAATTCTCCTTGAATAGTGGAGCAAGCTGTTAGATCACTTTTACGCAGGGCAAGATTTTGTATTGAATTTGCAGGATGTCATTTTGAACAGAATTGTAAATGAACAAATTAAATTAAATGTCTTTCTTTTCTTTTCTAAATGTCTTTCTTTTTTTAAATATTTAACTTTCAATACTTGTACTCGTATTTCTGTTAGAAAGCATTTGTGGACATATATTTATTAAACTTTTTTACTCTAAATGGCATCAGCAACACGCTCTTAAAGTATGGATCTTCAGTCATGGGACATCCTGTATATATATATGTGTCTGCAATTTTCAGTGAAACATTGTAATATTGCTCTATAAATTTAGCTCCCAGTGCAAATAATTGAAGCAGGATATTGGTGATGTTGTAATTTCGAAAAAAAAATTATGATTTGAGGAAATTATAAATTATAAATGACGTAATTCAGCGATGTATGAGCCAATGCAATCTGACCCTAATCACCTGTATTTCATAACGTTTTATCGTAAACGATTACTGGTTAACTGTGATTGAGTGATATTCTGAACTGCCTATATTAAGATAACCAGTAAATATACATCCTTAAGGAGAAACTTCCATTCATGAGAGACTTAGGATGCTGTAACGGATTATGATAGACAGTTACAATGGTTACTTACATAACGGCATTGATTGTCCGTAGTATTCAGTCAAATTATATTTTTTAAAGTAAAAGAATAATTGGACAGTCAAGAATTTAATCTATTTAAGGAAGAGCATTCTTTATCGAGCTCTTTTTCATTTTCATATCAGAGTGCAAATTTTTCTTAATATTTTACATTCCTCTCTTCGTATGAAAGGAGAACTGATTCTCGAGTCGGAAAAATGGATATCTTTTTAATGATTCGAATAATCTTCGACGTGCAATAAGGCACTAATCGTTGAGCCGTAATAATTACATATATGTCGGCAATAATCACGCTGGGCGTTTAGCTCGATTCGATTCTGCTGCTTGTTCCTTTCTCTCTACATATCGTACCTCCTAGGAATTTTTTTCTAGGTCAGAAAATATATGACGAGAGTGCGATTGACTCATTGCGATACGTGTGACCGAAGAAGGATCCCCACGTCCACATTTCGCTTGAGAGATTTCACTCGAGGTCATTTTAAGGCATGTTCTTTATATTCTATAATTCACGTCTTGTTGTACTCGTTCAAAGTACAATGATAATATGGGAGATAAAAAAAATCAGCAATCTAATAGTCACTGATGATCTTTGATCGTTTAATATTGAGAAAGGATGCATCATTTTTTCTTCAACGAATCGATGATGTTTCGTGCATGGCAATATGTGATGCATTTAAATGACCTACATCTATTCTATTGTATTAGAAAAATATCCAGTACAAAAATTCTACAATAATATATAATATAAATTTTAATAACAATGTTAATTTTATATGAATTTTTTTATAATTTTTATATATTTTTTATATATATTTTTTAATGATTTATTTCTAATTTTTATTTTTACCTTCTTTCTTTAATTTTTTTATTTTACTTTTAATTATTTTCACGATAGAGATTGTGCGATGATACAATCTTATTTTCTTTCTTAGAAAAATCTGAATAAGAATGTTAAAGTCAGTATGAATCTTTAAACACTGTTTGTGAAATTCTATATTTAAAATTTCTATATTTATATATTAATTTTCAATCTTAAACTTTGTTCTCTAACTAGTTTTGACTTTTGTTCAGATCTTAGTCAGAAAATGAATCATAGCAAGCGATTAATTGATTATCAGTAGTTGAAAAAGAACACTTGAACAAAGATCGAAATTAGTTCTATTATTAATAGAAAACGAATTTTAAGATTAGATAGAGAGTGTTGTATATTTTTTAAATACCGACAATGAATTATATATTCAATGCTTGAAAAGCTTACTTTAAATATCTTAATTTTTTAAAAATTTATCATAAATTTCTCTTCAACACTCGTCAGTTTACCTTAGTTATGCAATCAGTAAAGAATAAGAATGATTTTGCGCATCTAAGTTTCTGTTCATTCTCCGAGTACAGGAAGTTGAATCCTTTGGCTTCATTACTGTTTGCATTACGCGCTTATTAGCATACATATTAATGTTTTTTTTGTTTATCAAAATGAAACGCCTACTTCCTGTCGTAATCGCGGATCGGAATATCCATTTTCTTCAAGGACATTTTATATACTCATTGGTTAGTAGAATTATTATCGCTGTCTAATGAAAAGTCGCACAATCATGGAAATGTTTGTAATTGCTGGGTAAACACATCGAAAAATAAATGTGAACAATAAATCCTCCGGATCGTTATTCTTATGAAAACGTTACAAATTATCTAAATTTCTTCCTCTCATCCTTTCTCTAAAACAGTAACCTGATAGAGATAATTCAAATCGAATGTTCATTTCCGGTATTATTATCGAGAACAGACCGGCTGTCTGATAACGAGCATTTCTTTGGACTAAAAGAAAGGATGCAATTTCCAAATTTATATTATACATAAATAAACTTCTGACAAAACGCGCCGATTCTTATGCGATTTATCGCAATTTCACTTCATTACTTTTGCGATTTATCGCAATTTCACTTCATTACTTTTGCGCGAAATGTAATATTAATTAAAAGTCGTATGCAAAAATAATTGCTACAATAATGATGACATGAAATGATAATTCCGATTTAACAATTTCTTTTTTATTATCAGCAAGTTTTATGAATTTGTTTGGTGATTTTTTATAATAACTTTTTTTAACATGATTTTAATAACATTTTAATTGAGCGTTTAGCATGCTAAATATCTGCAGTTTTTGAATATTTATTATGATAATTAATAAAAAAATTAAAATGATCTTTGTTGTAATAATATTGTTTTATTTTTTTCTGATGAGGCATTATAGTATCTAAATATGAAATAAGAAGTAATTGATAATAATAAAACAATTTAATTCTCACGGCTTCCATGTGTGAGAATTGATTAATTAAGTTCAAAATAATGAACACGTGATTTTTTCTTCAAGGTTTTCGAAGATCATGTAAAAAATTTATTTATGTCCGTTCTTAAGTTACATTTTTTTACTTATTCTACATTTTAATTTCTATGTAATGACGTAGAAACTCGGGAGCAAACGCAATACATATGGCAAATAGATACATAAAATCTGCATAATAGAATTTGTATCATGAGAGTTTAATTTCAGCCATTAAATCTTCAATATGTTAATGATATAATGTCAAGGTTTAATGTGACAAATTATTAGTTAATACTAGTTAGTAGTTAATACTACTTATAACGCGCTATGCAGCACGAGCTGCAGTGTGTATGTGTAATTAATCAACATGATAAATAGTAGTAATTTAAATTTAAAAAGATATTAAATTTTTTGTACAAAATTGTACACTTTATAATAAAAAATCGAGGTTAATTATACATATATTTTCTATCTTCGCCTGATTACATCTTGTTTCAAATTATTTTAATTAAATGCGAAATAATAATTAACCCAAATTATAAAGATATCATAGATTTTGATGTTGCTCGATATTTTCCAAAATATATGTTTATATGTTTAATCATATATTTCCTCCAAGAAAAATTTTTGAGGTAATAAACTAATAAAAATTAAAGATAATTTACATACAATAGAATAAAAACATAAATTGTTTTATAATTATTGATGAAAATTATGGACAATTTTATTTATTTCAATTTTAATTTACGTACATCTTTTTACATTTTTCATACTTTTCATTGCGATAAAAAATATTTGGAAGAAAACTACTTCTCGCTCTCCTCCTGAATTATAATCAATAATCAATTGAAAAAGGAGTAAGCGACTATCTATTATATCTATATGTCTTCGTTCAACTTTAGACAATTAGTAAACATTTCATAAATATCATGTCGATTGTAGCCAATAAATTATTCCTATGTTTAAAATCATCATTAATTACGATACAACACAGCGTACTACAAGTAGCATTAATTGACGACCTGTCACATTAAATTTTGACATTATATTATAGCATATAAATCGATTAAATTATATCCAATTCATAATACAAATTTATAGTGGATGATATTGTCTTTGATAGATGATATTTATCAATGCTGAAGATACACCGGTCGCAAGTATTGCAAGCATCTCAGGCCACCTGGCACCATCACACACACACACAATGGTGAGTATATTACTCACACTTCTCCCCCGATGATTGAGTCGCGACCGCCGAGTGTCTTCGCCAATTCCGCCGCGCCTGTTCACCAAGAAGAGAGCGGAGCGGAACGGAATGGAACGGAACGGCCGTCGCTCCTACCACTTGGCTCGCGCTACCAGGCGTGCACCAGGAGCCGCTCGTCGCGATGGTGGGGTCGTCGTGTCGCGCCGGCGGCGTTCAGGAGAAGAAGCGTGAGTTGGTAGGCCTGGTGACTCGTCGAGCGAGAGAGCGGAGCGGTTCCGTCGGAGTCCACAGTCCTAACTCGGCCTCGGGCTGCGATAGATCGTATCTTACGCGGCTCCGATCCCGCCACGCGGAGAACAGGCAGTCAGTTCGATTCACCCGCGATCGAGTTTTGCGCGATCGAGTGATCCGACCGATCGCGCGCCGACTCTGTTTCCTCTGTCGCTGACCGGACCTCTTTCCCGCGCTTGGATCGATTCCGATCTCCGCGAGTAATCGAACGACCTTAGATTAGTATAACGTCAAAAATCCTCGGTCTTCCCCACCCGAGTGACCCCTGTCATCCCTTGACCTGCCGGGAAAAAGATATCGTCCTCACCCCGCTTTTCCGGTCTTCCTGAGCTGATCATCGTAAAAAAGTGGAGCGCGAGCGCGGATTATCTCGCGAAGAGAACGGGATACCGGGATACTGTTACGGGAGGTAAGACCTTTCCTTTCTTTTCGCGCTTTCTTGGCAGAGGAAGAGAAAGAGGAAAGGGAGAGAACACGTGTAGGAGGTGTGGGTGGGAGTACCGGCTTTACGCGCGGCTAGTTTATTTGCCTCCTTTTTTTATAATTTTGTGCGAATTTCGCGCGTGTGTGAGTGAATGCGCGTACGTGTGTGTGTATGTGTCTGTATGCGCGAACCCCTTATGTGCGAGCGAGTCAATGAATTACTTTTATGACGCAAGATCGTACGTGACAAAATCGTGGGAATTTGCAAGCCGCAAGAATCGGCATCTGTACCGTTATTAAAATATCGTGGGGATTATTCGTTGTAAAGTTTTTATTAAATTCCAAGAAGTTATATTTGAATACAAATAGAGATAGTTTTTGTTCTCTCTTTCCCTTCTTCTGTCTTTTGCGTAATTTTACAATATCATATAATTTTGAAATTTTATTTATTATAATATATTATAATATTGAAAGAAATTTAAAATATTTTGATGAGATAATCTCTAGAAATTCAAATCATGAGATTATTTTCTTGGTGAGTTTGACTTTTAGCAACATCTTGATTTCAAGATTTGTCTATCAAGCTGGTTGAAAAGTTAAAAATCTATTTATTATAAGAAAGATGCTTGATCAAAGTATTACCAATAAAAAATTGTCTGCGATATAATCAATAATTTAATTATAATATAATTTATAATATTACTGTAATTTGGTGCGAATTATATGAGACGTCTAAGAATATATTTATTTAATTCAATATATTGTAAAGAAATGGAGTAATTCTTATAATTTACAATGTATCTCGTAATATATAACAAATTATATAATTTTCGTATATATTTGATTGTTTGGGTGTATATTTGAATGAAAGCAAATTATACAATAGCTGTTACATAATTTTAAACTATCTTGTTTAGCTTATGGAGTATATCTTCCGTTTCCGCTATAATAAAGTGGAGCTTTAGCCATACTGTTCCGCTTTCCGTGAACTTATATTTCCAGTCTCAGTTAAAACGCGTTTTTTCTAAAATTAGAACGAAATACTAAAAGTGAAATAACACAATCTCGTGGTAGTCGGAGTCGTATCGTGAGTGATGATTGCCTCTGTTGCAGATTCTACAGTAAGATCTTTATAAAATAAAACTGTCCAAACTATCGTAATTAAACTTAGAATTAGTTTCTGCGAAACTTACTTTTGGATAATAAAAAATTCATTTCTTAGAAATAAACTCAGTCAAAGTTAATCGTTCTCAATAGATTTTTATGCGAATTATAAATGCTGAAGTCATCAAATAGTCAAGTCAATCAATAATCAATACGTCTAAAGTCAATCAACCAACAATTTATATCATTAAATTGATTCAAAAAGAACATTTAATTGCTGTAATGATTTAATCTTTATCTTGATTGATTGATCTTCGTTATTATTCCTACAATTTTATCCGCGAATATTTTTAGTTCTCATTTTTTAATTCGTCATTTCCAATTATTTATATATATTTTCTAGAAAAAGAGAGACAGAGAGAGAGGAGAGGAGGGAAAGGAAGAGGTAGAGAGAAAAAAAGTATTCTTGATAACAGTAATTTCGATAAAGTTAAAAAAAACTTTTTTTGCGAAATTTTTTTTATTTTATTATCTAGATATGTAAGATAGATAGTAAGATAGAAAACTAAAAATTTTTTGAAAGGTATATCGCGTATAGATATATATCACTATCTACATACGTTGTGCAAAACCGAAAGAAATCAAAGTTCCCATTTTAGTTATTTGTATTCGCACATTTCTTGTCATATATCTCTAGGCGGAATATCTTATGTACATAAATTATTATTTACTATGATTCAGACATACGTATATGCTCATCTGATTAGATTATTACGCTTGTCACGATTTGTCACGTCTCGCATCGGGTGCTAGGTATAAACTTTCGCTGAGCAAATGAATGATTTTTGAAGGCGCGGTCTTTCTGGCGTAACACTTTTTAGAATCCACTGCTTTCCGCCTTCTTTTTATGGCTCTAATTATATATGTATACTTTATTGATTCAGAAAAAACACAAATGAGGATCTTAATCTTTTTATTAATCATGTGAATCGACGTCATATATTATTCCATATAATAATTATTTGTTTTGTGGATAGATAAATTTTATTGCAAAGCAATCCAGAGATACATATTATTTTACAAGCTTCTATCTTAGATAAATTAATTATCTAAGATAAATAATAAAGATTCTCTCTCTTTCTTAACAGAGATATATTAATCTTTCTATAAATTCATTATTGATATACTAAATAATCTGACAGTTTTTAAATTAAATTTTTACGGAAGTAAAAGTTTTGCTTTTTAAAATTAAGATTGGACACGTGAAAACGAAACGTCTTAAATATTAATTAAGATGGCGATGAAACGGACCAAATTCGCACTAGTCTGAGATGTTTCGCGTTGCAGGGAAAATTCTCAGACGCTTTAATCGGGCGAATCTCCTTAAGGGCAAGTGGCAATTTTCCGTGGAAATCTCTGGCATCTTCACCATGTATCACGTACGCGTCCGAGAATCGACGATCGAGCGCTCTTGCACACGCCAGAGAAAGATTAAAGTACAACATGTGAATACCTGCGTAGTCACGGATACCTTCAGGGTCGTCCGTGCAATTACGTAATGGCGTTAATCAACGGTAGCGGCTAATCCCAAGTCCGAGTGGCACAAATCCGGCTGGAGGATGGACCAACGCGTGCGAGAAAATTAAAAGTCTGAAACTAAATCTTCGGCGATCTTGATAACGCAATATCCACGTGTTATTGATGACGACGATGATGTGTCGCAAGATTGACAATCGATCGTGTTGAATAATTCAATTGGTCGAGATCTACCGGACATGGCTTTCGCGATACGATCCTCGATATATCATGGGACATGAAAGCAAATTTTGTTTTTCTTCTTGATTATTTCATGATTTCCTGAATAAATTGCTATGCAAATACATTGCTCCTTGTGAGATAGAGACACACGTGTCGCCGCTTTCGAAAGATCGGACAATTTCGCATTCCTCGCGCGCGTCTTTCTCCTTTCGCGTTTTTCTTCTCTAATCCACGAGAAGCGCGCGAGATACTCGCTGGCCTCGCGAATCTACCGGCATTGAAAATACGAGCAATCATGACGTATTAAATTTTCCCCTCGGGTTGATCGCAATCGGACTGCGCGTGCATGCAAATGACAAATAGAAAAACACGCTGTCCATGATCACAACGTGACGACGTTCACCTAGGAAATCCATCGCGATTTATCAACGACAAGTCGTCCGGCGACTTGACATAATGAGCATCGGACTCGAAATTAATTTGCCTATCTTCCGGTCGGCTTTCAAAAGAAATGTACGGTACAAGCGCACTTATTCCGCATTCGTTAGATGACGAGCCTTGCTCCGAAAATATTTTGGAGAGGGAAATAGCTTAAATCACACACGTAAGCTATTGATATCTTCACACAAGAATAATCATTAGCAGATATTTTCAAACTGCACGTTTCTTATGAGCAGATGCAAAATGTTGCGCTTCTTATAAATGAAGAATAATAATAATAAAAAAATAAATATGCCTTTTTCTAAATCTCGGAATTTTGGAAGCTTACAAGAAGACTCGAAATATCATCAATGATACTTGAGCGAAGTTTTACTTCAACTACAACTGAAATGTGCATCTCTCATTTGGAGACGCTCTACTATATCGTATCGATGAGGTGACAGCCGCGAACGTTTCCCTCGCCAAGAAATTATTTGTCCCGCGCATTTACTCGATGCCGCACATAAGGACAGGCTGTGCAGTTGTCGATGCAACGGTTGGCGCGTCTCTATATCGTCACGATAACGAGTTTCCAGGTGTTTACGACCACGCGACGTCATCGAACCCACCTTTACCTTTTCAGTCGTCTCGCGTCGTGCATCCGTATGCATGTGTTGCGGTACGCCACATCGGTACGTTGTATCCTCATTTCGACTTTGCGCCTTGCAGCGGCATCGAGAATGTAGAAACTGGCGAACCGCATCTAAGATACAACGTCAGCTCGACCTATAGATAATGATATTTTACACGTCTACATTCTTGAAGTTCTCTTTCTACGACCACTTATGTGTGAATGCAATAATATGTGCGGATAATTTCCTAATAAAAATAATCTATATCGTACGGAGCACATATTTATATAACGGCTATATATTTTTTTTTATTTTTTTTAATATTAAGCTCTTATATTAAGCTCTTAATATAAAGCTCTTATATTAAAAAAAAACAGAGAAAAGTCGATCGTTACGATATTGATTTTTTAAATATGAGGAAATATCTTTGAATTTAATTATATTATTTTCTTTCTTTTTCTATCTAAATTATTTCTAAAAAATGAAATTTATTTAGAAAACAATTGCCTTATCTTACATAAGTTTATCACGAATCAGACAGATATAAATGCACAAGTAATATATGTAAAAGGACTTTACATTAATATTGTCAGCAATATATGGATTTTATTGATGCTTATTGATGATAATTGGCAAAAAATAGATATAGTGTTTTGCGAGGCTGTATATAACAATGCCATTGGCACAATACGACAGACATCGCTTATAAAACTGAGGCTTTGAACTCGATGACACTAAGTATTAACCTTTCTAAGAAAAAAGATCCTGTTTTCACATAAATACGCCCATTGACGTAAACGAATAAATAAATACGCTTCTACTTTTTATTATAACAGTAAATTAACGATAGATAATATTCTATAATGCCACCGATCAATGCTTCAGATTGATCGCATTTCTTTGAATTCTTAAAGTCTAAATAATTCACACTTCAATGGAAACGCGGTTGATCGAGGACACCCGGTATAAATCGATATTCGGTGGCTGGTTTGGAAAGTTAATGACTGCTAATATGGTAATAATTTCTGTGCCAGGCTCTTTTTCTCAGCGTTCAATATCTTGGCAATTGACATATTTTCCATTGCATCCAATCATGCGTGAATGACATAATAAATGTGTATTAGGCTATGAATAAAAATTCCAACGAAATAACGTGAAAACTTTCCACACCGTGTAGATTATGAAAAAAAAAAACGCGATAATGTATCCCGTCGTTTGCAATTTAAAAATCGTACATACGAGGCATTTTGCTTCTCCTCCTGAGATCGCTCCTTATCGCGCGCTTATCGATGCGTGATAACATGACGTGCGCAAAACACCAAACAGATCGTACTTTATCTCCGTCACCTCTTTCGCGAATTTTGAATCTCTGACGCTCCCGCTTCGTTCGCGATGAAATCCGCGCATGCTAAAAGATCGTCTCGAACGAGACGCAACAGAGGATATTTTGGCTCATTGCGCAAATTATTGACATATTACGGAGACGAAACGTCATTCTTAGTCGCACATGCATTAATTACGTAATTGACGCTTTATTGTTAAGCTTTTTATCTCGCTGATAACACGATATCATAATTATTTTTGTTCGATAAAGGAGTATAATCGATTTTCATCACTCTTTGGTACACAATTATATTAGTTGTAATTATTAATGTAATCGCTACTCAATTTTTTTAAACGGAAATTTTTAATCGATTTTTCATTTTATATAAAAAAATATATTGCATCCTTTTTCAGTATCCGTTTCAGTAGTATTCTGATATCCATTGATGATTTATGTCTTAAGTAAATTTTCATTAAGATAATGTCTGATTTAAGTTAATTAAATTAATACCTAATTTCATTAAGATAATGTCTAATTTAAATTAATTGGATAGTTAATATTTTTTTCTTACCGATTCATAAAATTCGATTTAGTAAGATGTCTTAAATTTTAATATTGGCTATTATATGCCTTGATATGGAATCAATTACTGGAATTAATTTCTTCTAATCTTTAATATTACGCATTATAAAAGGGCTGAAAAGGAAATATATATCTCTACAGAATATCTTATAACTAATATAGTATAATTCTCTTTCTCTCTCTCTCTCTTTTTACGTGTCAAAATATACCGATTTATTGCAACGGTGCACTTTTGAACATTAAAGTTCTTTCGCGAGCGTTGACCTGTAAAATATAAAATGTTGATTTGAGGATTTTTAGCTCATAGCTCACCAATATTACCACGTCATGTAGCATCGTGTTATCTCGTGCATCAGCGACATTTTAAATTACATCTCGAAAAGAAGTGCAGCTCATTAGATGCCATGCTCATTACTCGCCAGTGCCGCGTTAATTTGTGAATCTCATATTGTTGGCCTTATGACACATGTGTCATGCACGTGACCTCCTGAGTTCACGTGCCTTTCGAGAAAAAGATGGCGAGGTACAGTGACCAATAGTACGACACGAAGAGAGATGGAGAAGTTAGTCGGTTTGCGTGAGATTTTTCTTTGACCAGGCCTCAATGTAGCTAAGATAGTCACTGGTGACCGTCATTAGCAATGCTGATGTTCCAAAGACAGCGGAAATGGCCTATGACCTTCGTATATTTATTTGTTGTATCTTCCATCGCCTTTTCTATTTTATAGCCCTCTCTGCATCTGTCGAATATACAATATCTTTTCATTCACTATTATTTCTTAATTTTATACAACGTAATTATAATTTTTATAAGGGCAGGTTTATAATATGTAAGAAAATGCCACAACAAAGAGTTATATCATTAGCGATGTATAAATAAAGTTTGTGAAATTATTTAAACAATTCGTTGACGAACAACTATTCAACTTATTTTTTTAAAAACTTAAGAACTTAAAGGAAAGATTGAGAAAATTAAATATATTAAAAATCAAATTTTTTCGAATATATATATATATATATATATATATATATATATTCGAAAAAATTTGATTTTTAATATATAATTTATAATTTTTTAAGATTTATAATTTTTTCTTTTTCTTTCTCTTTTTACCTATTATACTATATCTTACATTTATTATTTTATGACTGTTTCATTAGATAGACTTTCAATATTATTTAATTCATTATATGTATTTCAAATATATTAATTTAATCTATAATAAATACACAGTTAACGTTTTTACTTTGTTCCATAAAACATGTCTTACATGATGTTTTTTTACTACTTATTAGTTTGCTAGTGCGCTAACAAATAATAAAATTAAAATACTTTAACTTGATTAGAGAGAGAAAAAAAGCATGCTAATTTAATAGCATTTTAAGATACACAATGTTTTTTACTAGTTAGTAGCACACTAGCATGCTAATAGCTAATAGTAAAAAAGCATTATATGAACATTCCCCGCTAAATGTTTTTCAAGCTATTAATATTTAGTACAACTAAACTATTTCATATTTTTGATTACTATTCTGTAGTATCCTGGGGCGTTACTGTGGACTATCTTATTCAATTAAATTGATTTAATGTTAGTAGTTGTTTTTATTATCATTGATGTTTTCTGTAAAGCATCTGATCTATGGCAGATTACTTACATACATATATCTATATGTCTAACTTTACATACATATATCTTACATACATATATCTATATGTCTAACTTTCTTTTTCTACGTTTCTTTGACTTTTACTTTTTATATAACGTTTCTTGGATGTACAAAATGTCTAGAACACCTTATATATATTTTTTGCGTTAGTCTTCCCGTTATCGTTTCCAGACATCTATCATTCTTCATCTTATAGACATGTGTAGACCTTTTTATATATGCATACGTCAATAGTCGGTTTGCGGTTTGAGAAACCGAGAATGGACAATGAAAATGATCGCTATTGCCCAAGGCCCTTACGTTAGACAAGCGAAATTCTGATGTATCATCGCAATGTACTAAGTTACGTAACGCAGTACGATAGAGTTATGTGAACGGAGTATTTCTTAACTACTAGGAGTCATTAGCTTTTAATTAATAAATTTTATTTTAAATATACATCAATAGATCTAGTATTTTGCAAAGAAAGATGAGAAAATACTAGAAAAATTGAAAATACTAGAAATTGGAAAATTCCTGAATTTAAAATTAGTTAGATTTAATTATGATTAGAGGTAAATAAATTTTCCAGTGATGACAAAATTTAAGATATGAATCTTATTTCAATAAAAAGAGAAATAAATAAAATAAAGTATTTGTTAAATTAATGAATGGTAAATTAAATTAAAATTGTAATTATTCAAGCCTGAAAATCTATCTAATTTGAAATCTAATCAGCATTTATGTTCATATTTATAATACATGTATGGCTAATTTTTATTTATATGAATTATTTTAATTATTATATTAATTAATAAACGAGATAAGAAATACGGAAGTTAAAACGTTTTAAACCAAAGCCATAAAATTTTTGCTCTTTGATAATATTATTCAGAATAATATTAGCTAATATCTCATATACTTATGAATAGTATTACGACGTTTAATTATTACATGGGAAATGCACACATCAGACTAATATCTGAAAAAAGCGAATGCAGAGACGGATATGGATTATTAATGTATATACCATGGTATATAATTATATATAATCTCTATCTGTCATGTGTTTGTACGTGTAATGATACCTGAAAAACAATCTGAATATCTTTATCATTTTTGTTTGATATATTTTATAAGGTATAATTTGAAATGATTATCTAAATTTTATGAAACAATGAAATAATAATAATGGAATGTGTTATTCTAAATTATAAATGATAATTATTTTCAAAATATACAATATTTTAAATATACAATATATGTTTAAGATTCCTTACGTATATCACATACACAGTAAAAAATTTTGTGTTAAATTTAACATATTTCACATGTTCCAATTTATCCACTCTAATTTTAATGTTAATTTAACAGGAGGCAAGTATGTAAATAAATAACACAAGTAATATGTTTAAAAATTAACACAAAAGTGTAACAGTTAAACTTTATCTGGAAATAAAGTTTATGTTAAATTAACATATTTATAATGTTAAATTTAATTAAAAGAAAATGTTATTCTTACATTTTTATGATAAATAACAGAAGAGATATGTCGATTTAACATATGGAAACTGTTATAGAGAGAAAAATAATAAACAACTTACTTGTTCATTTTAACATATAACATATTTCATTAAAAATTCGTGCATTTACATATTAATTGTGTTGTTTTAATTCTTAGAAACGGTGAATATTAACTCAACGCAGAAATGTCGAAATAACGCAATGATAATATGTTACATTAACATAAGAGTATGTTAAAAATTTAACACAAAAATTTTTATACGAGAAAATTTTAACAGAAATACAAAATGTTTTTTACCGTCTACTTACGCGCGTGTATTTATTTAATAAAGCAAAAAAATTATATATAAATTAAAAAATATAAAATTGGAACACTCTAAACGATAAAAAAGTGTGGCGCATTTTATATTTTATACATTGCTAGATTTAAAATAAAATATTTAAGTTTTCAAATTGCGTTTCCTTGTTCTTTGCTAATCAACCCTAACGGTCTTAATTTAAGCGATTATGAAAAACTAATTCTTTTACATAAATTGTTAGTGAAAATTGTACAAAAAGGAATGTAATATGGTCGCAAATGTTACATCACCTTGCTGTATGATAGCCAACGAAGTGTGAAATATGATTGTTTCCGGGGTTTAACTGACCCTGCGACCAATTGAGTATAAACGAAGAATGTCAACCGGTATACTAACTACATCGGTATTTAAGTCAGATTTTTATGCAAATCAGACTAACGACGCATCGACTAATAGGATAGGTGCAATAGTGATGCAAATATTTTCGTCATGGATTTACAATTCCTCGGTTTAATTTTTACGGAAATTTAACAATCAATAATGCAGTAAATTTTAAAAGAATAACAGAGCATCAAAGTAAAAAATATTTATAAAATTATAGTAATTTCTATATAAAAAAGATCATTATTTACAGCAAATAAGTCTTTATCACAGTAATTTTAAAATGTTGGTTTCAGAAATAAACAACGTGTAGAATCAGTGATAATAAGATAAAATTTAGAATTTTTTATAGCTTTTGTGATAATTTTTTTTTAATAATTGTGTAAATGCATATTAGTATCTTGATTAGTCAGTTGGCAGAGATTGCATTTAATTAATTTCTACAACTGTATTTGTAATGAACAAAACAGCTCTTTTCTTAAGCTAATACATTTTTTTGAGAATTGTATGTAATAAAAAGATGAAGGCCGACAGGATTTTTAACGTTATGTTAACGAATGATGATTTCGAAAAATTCCGCCGTAGAAGTGTCTTATATGGGATGATATATTAGAAAAAAAACATTATTTTCTTAAAATCAAGATAAACATTTTGAGAATTAAAATATATTAATTCTAATTAATATTAGAATTAATATATTTAATTAATAGTTTTAAGTTAATAATAACAGATCCGACATGTATCTGAAAATGATCGATTACATTTGATTTGCTATTTTTCAAATTACATAAAAGTATTACGCACACGTATAAGTACATTGATAAGAATAAGGATTGTCGCGCGTTCAAACCAACAATTTCGAGATGTATAAAGAACTTGATTTAGATTTTTACATAAAAAAAATTTTGATCTTTGACAGTTTGAGTTCAACTTCCAAATAAATAAAATATTAATAAATAAAATTTTGCTGCGATAAAATTAGCGAAAATTCGATATTTGACAGAACATTATATTAAATGATAATGTATGTTTAACGATTGATATGAGGACTTGTTAGAAAATGCGTTTTCGAAATGTCGTTTTGCCTGAATTGACCGATCGTGCCTACCATCGTGTCGTGAAATGTATGTTAGCATGGAGATATTGTTCCTAATTGCCTCCATTGGCAGGCAATGGATATTATTTCAAGAACGATGACTGTCCCTCGCACAATGATGATCTTGAGTCACTCACACGAATGTCTTCGCTCCGTTGATACGATAAGAATGTTTATTTGCTATCGATAGTTCGTGAAAAATTGCGACAAACGTGAATGAGTTTGCAATCTGATAAACAATTTCATTAGTTCACAATTGCTGTGAAAAACAAAATAATTCATTAAATATCAATATTTTATTTGAATTTATTCATTAACAACATATAAATTTTTTTCTGTTCTTTGTTCCTTGAATTAGTCATCGCATATCATAAATTCAAATTTAATTCTGAATTTTTACAAAAAAATGAAATGTGTGAAGAGAAAAACATCTCCTTAACATATAGCATAAAACATTTGCTTTTATTTATATTATTCAATTTTTATTTTTATTGAAGGAAATAAAACTTGGAAAAAAGACGAGAAAGCATTTCAAATCATATGGAATAAAAAGAAATATCAATGCATAAAAATCCAGAGACTGGTTTAAGGGCAAATATAAGCACTCGGAGTGTCTCCTCTAGTAATGTATGAATTCCGGCGTTCGCGATCACTTCCTATAGTTCATGCAAACTGACAGCTTCGCATTCGAACTATGCGCGCTAATTGATCGAACGTCACTAATCGATTCGGTCATAGGGAGTTTTAAAAGGACTTATTGGCACAGTTATAGAATAGTACTACATAGCATAATGATATTCAAACTTTATGTATTGAATAAATCACAAAAAATTTATAACTAGTATTATTAACGTACAAGAATGTTGAAAGCACTCAATTATTTAAGAATAATTTTGGAGAAAGTCATTGAACAATATTTATTTAAATATTTTTAAACAAAATGATCTGTTATATCACTGCGTTTTATAAATTGCTAAGAAAGATCTAAATGTAATGTGCAAATGATTTGTTGAATAGAATAATATTTCTTGCCAAAATTATTTTGCTCCTTTATAAACGTATTGATATACATATTATTATAATATTAATATTAATATAATATTAATATATTAATATATTAATAATACATTTATACATTTATAAAGATATTATGTATATAATTAGATTATAATATATACACACTACAAATTGTATATGTATTTTTATATATAATAATATGATATATTCATAATATTCATATTTCAATATCAGATATAATCGATTATACAACAATTAATTATGTCGAGATAAATACAATTAATTATGTCGATTATCGAGATAATACATAAATTCTAAGAATTGAGATACGTTCAGATTAGCGATACGTAGTCAACATAAAGTTAATATTTCGGTATATAAACAAGTTTAAATTCTTTCTCAGTGACATTAAATATAGCAATTGATACAAAATTCACATATTCAAATGCTAAAAAAATTAAGAGCGATTTTTGTATTATCTGCAATATAATAAACGTAATTCATTTTAACTAAGAAATTACACATACAATTTTTGAAAATACAAATAGTATGTCAAATTTGAGAAAGTTAAAAAGAAAGATGAAGTATGCACAAAAAATATATTTTTTATTGATAATATATTTTTTGACAATCATTAACATTTTCCATCGCTTTTCTCTTCATTTTTCATTTTTTTTTCTTTCTTTACTATATATATATATATATATAAATTCATTATAACATGTCTAATTTAACGTTAAATTTGACAAGTATATATAAATTTTATGATAATATATAGAACATTGTATTTACTCTAATTAAATTGTATTTGTTTTCGAATAGAATCAGCATATATTTGTTCAAAACAATGTTTTGACAATTGATTAGAATAATATATAGCAGACAAAAGATCTTGTTCTTTATATAATTATTAAAAGAGATAATTAGGTATCTGTATATGCTGAATTTTTTAATCTACCGTTTATTAATTTTTGGAATCATTTGACTATTTCTATTTTTGAAAATTAAATATATTGCTATTAAATATTATTTATACAAATATAAATGTTCGCGAAATCTTATGACTTTTGAAAATAATGTTTTAATTATTTTCTTTTAATTTAAAAACAGCTCTTAAATCGATGTCGTAAAACAAATGTGTAAATATTGTATGTCTTTGAAATAATATCTTCTTATTTGAAATGTATATTTAATTTCTGCTACTAAGATTGATTATCAATGCATATACGTGAACACTTTTATAATGGTTTCGATGTTTCTTCTTCCGAATGCGATGTGCTCCTCGATTCTAAGGAATATTTCATGCAAGAAGGCAAGATTTCGAAAATTTCTTTGCTATATCTCATTTCAAATTCATATAACCAATTTAAATCCGCTTGTGCATGTTTATTCCATTCTATAGGTGTTTTGGTTTTTATTAGAATATAGACTTGTTTGCATAAGTATTCCAATGCGCAAAACCAACAATGACAACTTCCTCCAGGATTATTTTTCCACTTTTGTAGTAGTGTCAGTAACATAGATTCTTGAGAATATGTCAATATTACATTATCTGATGTAAATGGATCATATATGTAATTATCTTTATTTTCTAACGCTGAATATTTTTTGAATTCTTCATTTAGTATGAATTTATCAATATTATGTTTTTCTGCAACTTCAGTTATATTATCAGATGAAATAGTTTTTACTGTCTCTTCAATCTTATGTTTTAATTCAAAGTATTTTCTTTTCTTCTTTAATATATTAATTCTTTTATCCAAAGCCTCACGATCCTTTAGAGAGTGAAATCCATATTTTCGTACAACAGTTACTACTTCTTCTTTATTATTTATCACTTCTTCTGCTGCTGTTTGGAAACATTTACTCTCGGATAGATGATCCACGATTTCAGCTCTCTTAGTGAATCTTTCTTTTTCTTGTATACGAGCCTAAACAAATATAGCAAATAAATGAGTATGCTATATGATATGATGAATAAGTAAAATATATTATAAGATAAAAATTATAAGATTATTCTAGCCATTTTAGCTTTATTTCATATATTTTATCCGATCGTATCTATTGATATTCAAAAACATATATTTTCATTGGAAAAAAAGATTTTTAAAACATTGGACAAAATACAACATAATATAACAAAATTTTACAATGCATTTTGTATTTCTTTTTATTCTAAAATATTTGTTAAATTATTGAGAAATAATATAATTATTAAACAGAATGAAATAACTTACATTATAAATTTGCAGATCAGCACATTGCAGAGGAATAATATTTGGAGTATTTGATTTTAAATCCTTTTCTTTAGCCACTGAACGCGAAAATTGCGGTGCATTCATTGATGTTAAGAACTTATCTTTTCTTTTACAAGCAGAATCCGAGAATTCAGAAATTTTTGCGCTATGTCTCATTACGAATTCACATATCCAGTTTCCGTGTATCATTTCATTCTCCCAAATTTGTTCCAATTTATTTATATTAGTGAATATATAAACCAAATAGTATACGTTTTCCAATGCGCAAACTTGACAAGTGCAACTTTGAGATTTTGTTTTCCAGATATCTAATTTATCCAGTAATGAAAATTCATCATTATATGTGAGAACTTTATGATTTGATACATAATCATCATATTTGTATGTGACTTTTGATTCATTATATTTTGTATATTCATCGTGCACTGTTTTATAACAAATATCTTGGGAATATTCAACAATAGCTATAAGATTGGATTCCTTGTTAGTTTTCATTACCAGGTTAAACGTTTTATCAAGAGCATTTCTTGATGTAAAATATTGATGTTTCTTTTTCTCTATTTCAATTTTTTCATTCAAAGTCCTCCGATCTTCAGAATTAAATCCATATTTTTGTGTAACAGTTTCTTCATTGTTTTTTTTATTTATAACTTCTTCTGCTGCTTTCTCGAGGCGATTGTTTAAATTTAAATAATCTATAATCTTTTGTCTGATGGACATCATATTAGCCTAACGAAATAAAACAAATAATTAACATACACTGCAATATGATAGATAAATGAAATATATCGTGAGATAAGAACTGTAAAATTATTTTCGTAACTTTCAATATATCATATTATATCAATTATTATACGTCTAATTGTATCTAAACATTCAAGAATACATATATTTTCTTTGAAAGCTTTTTAAGACAATATATGAAATAATATTAATATTGCACTATATCTTGTAGAGAGTGTATTTGAACCTCTTTACATTCCAAATAATTTTCTAAATAATTATGAAATAATGTAATTAATATGAAATAATACTTACATTGGGAATTTGCAATGAATCAAAGTTTCTTTGTAGATCGGGACTAGAAGTATTTGTTTCCGAAACTTTTTCTTTATCAAGTAACAACAAAAATTTTTGCGATGTTTCATCTTTTTTGCAATTAGATGAGAATTTAGAAATTTTTTTTTTATATCTTATTACAAATTCACAAAACCATTCTTCATTTAATTTCTTAATTTTATTTGTCAACATATGGCTTTCTTGGCCTTTGTAGTTAGTAATAGTATCAGTTATAAGATCATATAAATGTTCCAATGCGCAAATTTGGCAAGAGCAAAGTGATTGAGACTTTTTTCTCCAGGTGTATAATTTTTCCAGTAATAAACTTTCCTCAATATATGTTATATTTAAATATTCTAATGTACATATAATTTTATCATATTCATATAGGTGTATGAAAAAATTATTTAACAGCTTATGGTTTTCGATTTCGTTTTCTAATAACTTGTGATTGATATTATAATTTTTTGCAGCATTTTCCACAGATCCATCAAAAGTAAGAAGACGGGGAACTGCATTTTCATACTCTTTTTTTTCTTCAAGATATTGATTGTTTTGCTCTAATATAAATATTATGCTAATTAAAATCCGATGCTCCTCTTCAGAAGTAATTTCGTATGTTTTTACAACATTTTCTAAATTTTTCTGTATTATTAAAACTTCTTCTGCTGCTGACATAAGTCGTTCGCTCAAGTTTAAAAAATTTGTAATCCTTTGTCTGATGTCGAACCTTTCATAAATCTAATAAAATAAATAATATAATTACTATGTTACACGATATGAAAGAAGATATTATTAACTAAAATTATAAGATTATTCTAGCAATTTTTATCTCATTATGTTTCAAAATTTTTATTCGATTATATTTATCGATATTCAAAGATATATATTTTTTCTTACAAAGTTTTTCAAAATAATAAAAGAAATAATATTTATATATAGGATTTCATGACACATTTGTATTGTTTTTATTTGCTTTTATTTGAAAAAATTTTTTAAATAATTATGAAATATATATTAACGATACTTACTTTGACAATTTTTTGCATATCATTTTCCAACTTTATTTTCTCAAATGTTTGATATATGCTCAAAGTATTTGGTTCCAAAATTGTTACATTAAATGACGGAGATTGCGATGCGCTCGATGCTGATTTACGATATTTTGTGCAAAACAAGTATACAGAAATTTCTTTGCTATGTCTCATTTCAAAATTGTATAACCATTGTTTGTCCGCTTGTTTGTGTACATTCCATGTAGAAGGATATGTTTTATTTTTTGTATAGGCTGTTATATAAGCTAAACTGAGTAGATGTTCCAATGCACAATAACGACAAGAACAAGTACAATTTGTTTCCCATATTTTCAAGAAACTCAATAATGAAAGTTCTTCTTTAAATGTAAAAACATCCTTATATGATATAATGTCATCATATTCGTATAACCCGATTCCTATTATCGCACCAATTCTACATTCTTGTAGTAATTTTTGATAACTAATATTATATAATCTTGCAACGTCAGATATTTTTAATAAGTTAATTGATGATACGACACTCCTTACTGCTTTCTCAAACTTATTTTTTATTTCAAGATATGTATTTTTCTCTTCTATTATGTTAATTTTTGCGTTAAAAAACTTACAGAGAATCTGAGAATCCTCCGCAGAACTAAAATGCTTTTGTACAATATCATCTTTCTGTTTGTTTTCTTCAAAAAATTCTGTTACTGCTTCTTTAACCCGGTTGCTCAATTCTAGATGATATATAATGTCTTTTCTAATATTAGACATTGTATGATCTAACAAAATAAAATAAATATTTATAGCACTACATGATACGATGGATAAAAAGTTATATCGTAAAATAAAATTATTCTCAGGATTTTTATTTTAAAATATTTCAAACGGTTTTGTCTGATTATACTTATCGACATTTAAAGATAAATATTTAAAGATAATCAGACATTTGAAGATAAATATTTTTGAAACAAAATTATTTAAAACAATATATAAAATAATATAATAAACAATATACAGAATCTCACAATATGCCTTTTAGTATCACTATATTTTTAAAAATCCTTTAAATAATTAAATAATTATAAAGTAATATAATTGATACAAAAAATAATACTTACAAAATATAATCAAAGAACAAATTTTACTGAAAATATCAATTATCTGAACAGTAACTGACTATGTATTACACCTGGTTGTAAACAGAATCAAACTGACAATGTCATGAATTTCGGTAAAACCAGATATTTAAGCTTATGATTAAGTCTAGTTTACAATAAAAGTTAATCCTATTAAAACTAAAGATTATTATCCCATGAACGATGTGTGGCGTTCTTGTGTAGCAGAGAATTCGTTAACAACGACAATACGATATCGATTAATAATAGTGCATGTGTGGATCAATAAATATTAAAATAAATATAGTATTTTTTGTAGTTTATTGTAATTATTTTTATTTGAACGATCGTGTAAATGCACATATTTGTTATCTTGATTGTTATTTTAATTAGTCAGTTAATAGAGATTACATTTCATTAACTGCATTTGTAATGAACAAAACAGCTCTTTCTCTTAAATCAATATATTTCCTTAAGAGTTGTACGTGAAAGGATGAAGATTAACTATATTTTTATGCTATGCTAGCGAATGATGATCTGGACATTCCATCATAAAAGTATTTTACATTAGATAATATGCTAATAAAAAAAACATTATTTTCTTAATATCAAGATAAACATTGAAAATTAAATTCTATATATATATATATATATATATATATATATATATATTAATGTAGATGTATTAATTGTAAGTTTATCACATTAATATAAATCTGATATATATTTGAAATTGATCGATCATATTTGAAATGTTGGAGACAATAACATCAGACATGCCGCTTTTAAAAAATAATTATGTTAGAAGTATTGCGAAAACGCCGCAAATACTCGTACATTGATACGAAGGATTGACACGCATTCAAACCATCATTTTCGAAACATATGTATCAAATCAAATAATAGAGGATTTAGATTTTTACTTAAAAAAGACTGGCCCTCTAATATTTAAGTTTAATTCAACTCTCAAACATAAAATATGAGTACATAAAATTTCATTGCGATAGAATTAGTGAAAACTCGATAGGATGCCATATTAGATAACTGTCAAACGGTAACACAGTATGTTTAACGATTAGTATGAAAACTTGTTAGAAAACTTATTAGAAATATTGTTCTATTCGAATTGGCTTTCAAATGACGATTTTGCCTATTTCGTCGCTAAATGTCTATCAGTATAAGATATTGATTTTAACTGTGTTCTTTGGCAAGTAATGGATATTATTTCAGGAATGACAACTGTCCCTTGCACGACGGTGATCTTGAGTCATTCGCGCGATGATCATCTTCACTCATTCGCATGTGTTCTTGTTCCGTTGAGAGATAAGAACGCTTGTTTATTATCGATAATCTGTGAAAAATTGCGACAACGTGGCAGAATTTGCAATTTGATAAACAATTTCGTTAAATTTATAATCGTTGTATAAGAAACAAAATAATTCGTATAATAATATTTTATCTGAATTTATTAATTAATATTTTACAATATCAAATTGTATCATTTATTAATATTTTACAAATCTTTTCACTCGTTTGTTTCCTGAATAAGTCATCGTATGCTTTAAATTTAAATTTAATTCTTAACTTTTACAAAAAAAAATATTGAAATATCTGAAGAGAAAAATATCTTCTTAACTTATAACAAAAAACATTTGCTTTTATTTACTTTCTTCAATTTTTACTTTTTTTAAAGGAAATAAAATTTGGAAATAAAGATGAGAAAGCATTTCACAAATCATATAGATAAAAAGAAATATTAATATATAAAAATTTAAAGACTCATATCAGTAAATGTAAATATTCAGAAATTCTCCCTTAGCTGTTGTCTGAATTCCAGCGTTCGCGATTTATCTTTAAAATTTATTCAAATTGACAGTTTCGTATTCAAGCTATGCGCTCGAATTGATCGATTCGGTCATAGGCGGTTTTGAGGAGATTTATCGGCATAGTTATAGAATTATAAATACTATATAGCATGATATTAAAATTTATTTATTGAATAAGTCACAAAAAATTTATAACTAGTATTTTTAACATACAAAAATGTTGAAAGTACTCAATTATTTAAGAATAATTTTGGAAAAAATTATTGAAGAATATTTATTTAAATGTCTTTAAACAAAAATATCTGTTATTGTGTTATATAAATTGTTAAGAATGATCTAGATGTGATGTGCAAATGATTTGTTAAATAGAATAATTTCTTGCCAAAATTATTTTACTCCTTTATAAATGTATTGATATACATATTATTATAATGCATGTATATGTTAACATATATATAACATACATATAACATACATATATAACATACATATTAATATATATATAACATACATATTAATATATATATACATACATATAACATACATATATAACATACATATTAATATATATATTTATACATTCATAGATCTATTTTGCATATTAATATATTATAATATATATTTTTTTATATATAATAATATAATATATACATATTTCAATATTAAATATATATATCGATTATGCAACATTAATTATGTTGAGATAAAATACACAGAATCTAAAAATTGAGATACAGATTCATTATACGTAATCAATACAAAGCTAATATATCGATATATAAATACATACACAAATTTAAATTTTTTCTCAGTGACATTAAATGCAGCAATTGATGCATCGTACAAAATTCACGTATTTAAATGCCAAAAAGATTAAGAGCGATTTTGTATTATCTGCAATATAATTCATTTTAACTAAGAAATTACACCTACTATTTTTATAAATATAAATAGTATATCGAGCTGTAGAATTTAAAAAAGTTAAAAAATAAGATGAAAATATGCACAAAAGATGATAATATGTTTTTTGACAATCATTAACATTTTTCGTCGCTTTTCTCTTCTATTTTTTTCTTTTTCTTTTTACTATATATATATATATATATATATATATATATATATATACATATATATGTATAATAATAAATCAGAAGTACATATATCAATTCTTTTATCCAAAGCGTCACGATCCTCTGGAGAATTAAATCCATATTTTTGTACAACAGTTGCTACTTTTTCTTTTTTATTTATCACTTCTTCTGCTGCTCGAATAAACCATTTACTCTCGGATAAACAATTCATGATTGCTCTTATTGTATCTTTCTTTTTCTTGTATATGAGCCTAAACAAATAAAGTAAATAAATAAGTATGCTATATAATATAATCAATAAATGAGATATATTATAAGATAAAAATCATAAGATTATTCTGACCATTTTAGCTTTATGTCATATATTTTATCCGATCGTATCTATTGACATTCAAAAACATATATTTTCATTGGAAAAAAAGATTTTTAAAACATTGTATAAAATACAACATAATATAACATAAAATATAACATAAAATTTTACAATGCATCTTGTATTTTTTTTATTCTAAAAAATCTGTTAAATTATTGAAGAATAATATAATTATCACATAAAATGAGATAACTTACATTATAAATTTACGAAGAAGCATCACTTTGCAGACGAATAGTACTCGAAGTATTTGGTTCTAAAGCCAATGAAGTCGAAAATTGCGGTGCATTCAATGATTTTAGGAAGTCATCATCTTTTCTACACTTAGTATAATCCATGAATGCACCAAGTTCTGCGGTATATCTCATTCCGAATTCACATATCCAATTTCCGCGTATCATTTCATTCTTCCAAATTTGAGGTTCTAACTCATTTATATTAGCGAATATATAATTTAAATAGAATACATTTTCCAATGCGCAAGCTTGACAAGTGCAATTTTGAAATTTTTTTGAAGTTTTTTTTTTCCACATATTTAATTTTTCCAGTAATAAAATTTCATCATTATATGTGAGAGTTTTATAACTTGATACATAATCATCATAGTTGTATGTAATTTTTGATTCCTTATACTTTATATTTTCATCGTGCAGTGTATTAAAAGGAATACTTATGATTTCTTTAAGACTAGATGGGTTTTTGGTCTCCATTAGATAAAATATTTTATGAATTTTATTTTTTAATGTAAGATATTGATTTTTCTTGTATTTTGTTTCAATTTTTTCATCCAAAGTTTCACGATCTTTTTTAGAATTAAATCCATATTTTTGTGCAACAGTTTCTTCATTTTGTTTTTTAGTTACAACTTTTTCTGCTGCTTTCTCGAGACGATTGCTCAAAACTAAATAATCCTCAATCTTTTCTCTGATGGATATCATATCATCCTAACGATATAAAGCAAATAAAGAATACATTGTAATATAATAGATAAATGAGGCATATCGTAAAATTATTTTCGTAACTTTTATGATGTATCAATTATTATACGTCTAATTGTATCTATATCGAAACATTCAAGAATATATACATTTTCTTTGAAAATTTTTTAAGACAATATTTGAAATAATATTAATATTGCACTATATCTCTTAGTGTATTTAAACTTCTTTTCATTCCAAAGAATTTTCAAAATAATTTCGAAATAATGTAATTAACATGAAATAATACTTACATTGGAAAATTGCAATAAGTCAAAGTGTCTTTGCATATGGGGGCTAGAAATATTTGTTTTCGAAATTTTTTCTTTATCGAGTAACGATAAAAATTTGTGCCATGTTATCAGCCAAGATATATCTTTTTCTTCGCAATTATATTTGAATTTACAAATTTTTTTTCTATATCTTATTTCAAATTCACAAATCCATTCTTCAGTCAATTGCTTAATCTTATTCTGATTTAGAGATTTATCTTTCGGTGGTTTGTAATTAGTAATAATAGCAGTTATAAGATTATATAAATGTTCCAATGTGCAAAATCGGCAAGAGCAACGTAATTGAGGGTTTTTTCTCCATTTATTTAACTCTTTCAGTAATAAATATTCCTCCATATATGTTGTTTTTAAATATCCTGATGTACATATAATTTTATCATATTCATATTTGTATTTCCTAATTGCATTCAACAACTTATAGTTTTCTATTTCTTTGTCTAACAACACGGGATTAATATTATATTGTTGTGCAGCATATCTTATAGTTGCACCAGAAAAAAGAATCGAATTGACTGCATTTTCATAATTAATTTTTTCTTGAAGATATGTATTGTGTTCCTCTAATATAAATATTATGTTATGTAAAATCCGACGCTCGTCAATAGAATTAATTTGGTATTGTTGTAGAACGGTTTCTAAATTATCCTTCTTTGCTAAAAATTTTTCGGCTGCTGGCATAAATCGTTTGCTCAAGTTTAACAAATTTGTAATCCTTTCTCTGATATCGGATCTTTTATGAATCTAATAAAATAAACAATATAATTATACTATGTTACACGATATGAAAGAAGTTATTGTTAGATAAAAGTTATAAAATTATTCTGGCAATTTTCATTTCATTACATTTCGAGATTTTTATTCGATAATATATTTATCGATATTCAAGGATATATATTTTTTCTTACAAAGTTTTTCGAAATAATATAAGAAATAATATTTATATACAAGGAAAGAAATATACATTTTATAACACAAATTTGTTTTTATTTGTTTATATTGCTTTTATTTGCTTTTATTTAAAAAAATGCTTTAAATAATTATGAAATAATATAAAAAAAACTAACATAAAATGACACTTACTTTAATAATTTCTTGCATATTTTTTGGATCATTTTCCAACTCTATTTGCTCGAATGTTTGATGTTTGCTCGAAGTATGTGGCTCCAAAATATTTGTTACATTATATGACAACGAAGGTTGCGATGAGCTCATCGGTGCTAAAGGATGATATTTTCTGCAACAAGACGAATATTCAGAAATTTTTTCGCTATATCTCATTTCGAATTCATACAGCCATTGTTCTGCTTGCTTATGTGAGTTCCCTTCAGAAGAATTTTGATTTTTTATACAGACTAATTTGAATAGGTGTTCCAATGCACAATGACGACAATGGCAATCTTTCGTAGATTTTTTTTCCCAAGAACCTAAGTTCAGAAATAATGAACGTTCTTTTCTATATGTGAAAACATAGCTATTTGGTATTTTCTCGTTATATGCGTATGATTTTCCTAACTTCTTAAATTTTTGATATTCTTCATATAGTGTTTGACAACTAATACTACATTTCTTTACAACTTCAAATATTTTTGATGGTGAAATTTCCTTTACTGCATTTTCAATCTTTTCTTTCATTTCAAGATATTCATTTTTATGTTTTATTATGTTAATTTTTTTGTCAAAAAAGTCACGGAGAAGTGGAAGATTTTTCTCGGAATCAAAATGCCTTTGTGTAATAACGCTTTCCTCTTCATTTCCTTTAAAAAATTCTGCTACTGCTTCTTTAACCCGATCGCTTAATTTTAGATGATTTCTAATTTTTTCTTTAATATCGGACATTGTATGATCTAAGAGAAATAAAATAAATATATATAGCACACTACATGATACGATGGATAAAAAGATATAGCGTAAGATAAAATTATTCTCGCAATTTTCGTTTTAAAATATTTTAAACGATTTTTGTCGAATCATATATTTATCGATATTTAAAGATAAATATTTTTTTGAAACAAAATTGTTCAAAACAATATACAAAATAATATTAACAATATAGAGAATTTTATAGTGCGTTTTAATATTATTATATTTTTTAAAATTCTTTAAATAATTATAAAGTAACATAATTGTCACAAAAAATAATACTTACAAAATATAATCAAAGAACAAATTTTGAAAATATCAGTTATCAGAAACGGGAACTGACTGTGTATTTCATTTGATCGTAAACAGAATCGAACTGACAAAGTCACAAATTTCGGTAAAATAAAGATATTTAAACTTATTATTAAGCCTAGCTTACAATGAAAGTTAACTCTATTAAAAGTAAAGTCTAGTTTTCATATTTAAATTATTTATCGATATTTTAAATTTGTTTGTCCACAATTATGCATTTACGCGTCACGTTTGCTTTATAAACTAAGATTAGATTTCGATAATGTGAATCTTATATATTCAGTATATATATTCAGAATTGACCCATTTTGACTTCAGTGTGATTTCTGTACTCACTGCCTACTAATCATTTCGCACGAATGTTCGATCTCGATATTATAATAACTACTTTAGCGAGAAAGGGGAGTGCCTTCTTTTATGATCTGTCTATCTCATCGTTATTATTTTTTTAATAACTATATGAGAGCGAAATGTTGGCACTTATTAAATAGTTATGATAATAATTTCACTTAATATAATAATTCTTAATTCACATGATATTATCTCTCTTCTCTCCGTTATTTAGAGAGAGTATAACATATACTTTCTCCTGTTTCATTTATTTCACAATACAGAAGTGAAACTCTTATACAGAAAGTAGTTTGTCCTTATCATCTACTAAAAAAGGATTTCTGAAGCATGTAATATTTTTTTAAACATATAATACATTTTAGATATCTATTGATCGATGAAAATTATATTACGAAATATATGTGAAAGTATATTACATATCTGTGCTTTAAACATAACATTTCGTTTATATCAGCGACTATCAATATTATCGATCGACAGTTTCAAACACCGATTTAATTCGATCAAATGCGTAATTCTGGTTCTTTTATGGAATTTGTCTCGCATATCGATTTCCCTGAAATTAGGTTGTTCACACATTAAGATTCACGCTAGTGGCTACTTTGATGTACTTTTTTAATTATCGTGTAAATGAATTTTTAGCAAACAAGTTTTGGCTGATTTATTGATCAATAAATCCGTTCTGAGAAATTTTTAGTAAACTTTGTTGAAGCTCGATTTTTGAATCTTTAAGACAAAATACGTGATTAGAGATTAAGATGTATTCATAATTTATTATTTCCTATATATTAATGCACATATACATATGTTCTACTTTTTAAATTATTTATTGCAGATTACTTACACATTACAAATTTCTTCAAAAAAATTATTATTTATTATTTCTTTATAATATCTTCTCGTAATCAGACTAGCGATGATAGTATTAAGTTTAAAGTTAAATTTAAAGTTAAATTAAAAAATTTGTAATAACAACGAAAATTTTAATGATTGATTTTCTAAGTAGAAGATCTTTTTAATGAGATTTTATATTGACGAACTTTGAATTATACTCTTAATTATCAAGTTTGCGATCAAAGTCCAATACAAATGGATTGTGATCGATCGATTATTTACTTTCATACGATTGGTATGGTTGATTGCTTACGTACATCGATCGTGAACGATAATAAAATCATCTCGTAAATGAAATTAAAGACTAAAAAGATTGCATCAATACGAATCGAAAAAAGACATTTTTTGAGGGAATCCAACTCCCAGCAAAATTGTTGATGAAGAATTATCTTGTCATGTTTATATGCAATGATCAATATTTACCAGTTCTACATGTACATGTAATGATTCATTCCTCTCACGAGTTTTTCTATTGGAAATGTAAATGCAAAAAATTGATTAATGTAAATGCAAATAATTGATTAATTGAATGGAGCATGAAACGCATTAATCGTCTAAAATGGAATGCTATTATGCATCAAATATTATCCCATGAACGATGTGCAGCGTTATAATAGAGAATTCATTAACAATGACACTATGATATCGGTTCGCTAATAATAGTCCATTCATGCGCGTCTATTAATCATGCGTTCTTATACATGATGTTTCAGAAAATTTCAGAATATTTTATTCATTCATAATTATGCATTTATATATAATTATGCGCGGCACTTTCGACATGACTTTACAATTTCTCGGTTTAATTTTTACAGAAATTTAACAATCATTAACTTAAAAAGTTTTAAAGGAATAACTGAGCGCTAAAATAAAAAAAAAAAACATTTATTGACAATTTTTGTAATTCTAAATTTCAGATGACACTTTTGTACGCGACATATTGTTTAATGGCATACATTAATTTATATTTAACTTTGCACTGAGGACCCAAAAAAAGGATTGAAACGTTTGCAAACATTATTTAGTTTTAATAATTGTGCGCTTATTATCGCGCGGACTCGTATATTACCCATTGTATTATTTTTTATTTAAAAAAATATTTATGAAATTTTGTAATAAATTTTACATATAAAGATTATATTTTTATAGCAAAAAAAACCTTTAGTATGATAATTTTAAAACATTTATTTTAGCAACCATGTGTGGAATCAATGATATTAAAATAAATATAGTATGTTTGTAAAATTTTTATTTTAATGATCGTATAAACGCACATATTTGTTATCTTGATTGTTATTTAGTCAGTTGACAGAGATTGCATTTCATTAACTGCATTTGTAATGAACAAAACAGCTCTTTCAAATCAATATATTTCCTTAAGAGTTGTACGTGAAAGGGAGAAGATTAATTATATTTGTATGCTAAGCTAGCGAATAGTAATCTCGAGATTCCACCATAAAAGTATTTCATATTAGATAATATGCTATAATAAAAAAAAACATTACTTTCTTGATATCAAAATAAACATTGAATCCAATTTCTGTATTTTATTTCTCCCAAATTTGAAGGTGCAACTCATTTATCTTAATGATATATATAACCCAAATAGAATATGTTTTCCAATGCGCAAGCTTGATAAGTGCAACTTTGAGATTTTGCTTTGAGATTTTGCCAGATATCTAATTTATCCAATAATGTGAAAATTCATCATTATATGTGAGAACTTTATGACATGATACATAATCGTCATATTTGTATGCAATTTTTGATTCATTATACTTTTTACTCCCGACTGCTGTCAATCTACGGTTGGCAAAAAGACGGAGGGAGTATGCGTTTCACCAAGCTCGGATTGATTGTGACAGATATTTTCGATAACTATAACTTAGTTCGATATCATCTTTTGTACAATTAATTTCTTGTTATGCAGAGTGTTAAAAAATAACATGAGTTTTTAAACCTGTATATAAAAAATTTAATAATATGAAAAAGTAAGCGTGCAGGACATCAAAATAATCCTAAGACATTAACTTTTAATAAATTATATGTTCGATGTGACTTCCATTTGAGTTTAAGCAGAACTCGAATCGTCTTTGAAAGGCTGTAAATACTCTGCCAAGCATTTCGCTATCAATGGTTTTTGTTTTTTATAGCAGTTCGAACTCTTGTTCGTTTGTTGGTCTCTTAGAATATATTCGGTCCTTTAGAAAGCCCCATAGAAAAAAAAGAAAAAAAAACGATGCATGCTGCTGAAACTTTTTTATTAAGCTGAAAACAATCAAGCTTGGATGGTGCGAAATTGCAAAGAAAATTAAACTTAACAGCGATTTTTTAAAAATCGTCACAAAAGCATAATTAGAAAAATTCGAATTCTAACCTTGTTAAAGTGTTGTCGCACAGGAATTTTTCAGGTTTATATGGTGTCTTAGAGCGCGAATAGCCGCAGCATAACTAGAGCCATTTTCATAAAAGGATTTGATAAGGCACACCTTTTGGTCGTTTGTGAGGTCAGTTATCACAAAAATAAAAATATTCAGCGTAAACACTAATAAACACACGTTTTAGAGATGCAAGGGCGTTGGCAGTAAAGCAGTAAGAGGAGAAACTGCTAGCTAAAAATGTTTGAGTGCTACGCGCATGCGAAGTACCTCAGGGTTTTTTTAACACCCTATATGAGTGAAGCGTGACACAATAGGCAGTGGACTAGCCTACAAAGCCAAAAATCCCTGGTTCGATTTCTAATAGAACCAAAAAATTATATACGCTCGCTCCTCTGTTGGATATCAGGGATGTTTTATTAGAGGAATTGTATACGTGAAAATATGTGAGGCGCAAGTGGTAATATTTTTTTCTCCATGGCAATCGGCATTGCATCCATCGAGTGAGATACCAACATCGCTCTGGAATCACATATCACTGTGTTAAAAAGCAACAGGTGTGAGGTCTGGATAGCTTAGTGTCTGCTCTAGAGCAGTTGCCCTGAAAAGCGAAAAACTCGGGTTCGATTCCCGATTCAGCCACTTGCGCCTCACATATTTTCACTGATGGATTTTTGCCACGTATACAATTCATCTAATAAAACATATTCTTCTAAATATGATATTTTCAATGAATATAGTGTTGGTATATATTTTTTATAATTATAATTATAATTTATATTTGTTTCTAAAGATTTTATATATTCGTCTAGTTCTTCAATTAATTGTTCTTGATTTACGTCGAATTTTTCTATGGCATTTTCAATAGTTTTGTTATCATTACATAAAAATGATTGCATTTTCATATTTAGCTTTTTCTTCAAGATATTTTCTTTTCTCTAATATAAATATTATGCTATTTAAAATCTGACGCTCCTCTTCAGAATTAATTTGATATTTTGGTATAATATTTTCTAAATTTTTTTCTATTAAAAATTGTTCAGCTGCTGGCATAAGTCGTTTGCTCAACTTTAGAAAATTTGTAATCTTTTGTCTAATATCCAACCTTTCGTAAATCTAACAAAATAAACAATATAATTATATTATGTTACACGATATGAAAAAAGATATTATTAAATAAAATTATAAGATTATTCTAGCAATTTTTATTTCATTATATTTCAAAATTTTTATCCGATCGTACCTATCGACATTTAAGGATATATATTTTTTCTTACAAAGTTTTCCAAAATAATAAAAGAAATAATATTTATATATAGAATTTCATGACATATTTGTATTGTGATTTGTATTGTTATTTACTTTTATTTAAAAAAATTCCTTAAATAATTATGAAATAATATATAATTGACAAAATGATACTTATTATGACAATTTCTTCCATACTTTTTGGATCATTTATCAACTTTATTTGCTCGAATGTTTGATGTTCGCTCGAAGTATGTAACTCCAAAATATTTGTTAGATGATTTTCAATTTTTTTTCTAATATCGGACATTGTATGATCTAAATGAAATAAAATAAATATTTATAGCATACTACATGATACGATGGATAAAAAGATATATCGTAATATAAAATTATTTTCACGATTTTCGTTTTAAAATATTTTAAACGGTTTTTGTCTGATCATACTTATCGACATTTAAAGATAAATATTTTTTTTGAAACAGAATTGTTCAAAATAATATATGAAATAATATTAACAATATAGAGAATCTTACAGTGTACATTTTAATGTCATTATATTTTTAAAAAACCTTTAAATAATTATAAAGTAACATAATTGTCAAAAAATAATACTTACAAAATATAATTAAAGAACAAATTTTACTGAAAATATCAGTTAACTGAACGATAAGTGATTATGTATTTTATGTAGTTATAAACAGAGTCGAATTGACAATGTCACCAATTTCGATGAAACCAGATATTCAAGCTTATGATTAAGCCTAGTTTACAATAAAAGTTAATCCTATTAAAAGTAAAATCTAGTTTTCATATTTAAATTATTTATCGATCATTTAAATTTGTTTGTCCATAGTTATGCATTTACGCGTCACATCAGCTTTATAAGTTGATTAATCCTTAAAAACAGAATAATTTCTAAATTTAATTAATTTAATTAATAATTAAATGAATATTTTAACGTATGATAGAAAATTTCGAAGAGAAATGTCAAAATCGATATGAGATTATTAATAAAGAAAATTAGATGTTAGTGTTGCATTTTTTTTTTAAACGAATTAATAAGAATAAATTAGGATAGATAAGGATCGCGTCCCAGGAGGTCAACAAACGATCAGAATGCGTATTAACATTCATTGGCATGTATCGGACGAAGTTTCCGCTACTTTCAACTTCCTCTTATGTAGGAGTCGTATGACCTCCCAGAATGACTCCTCGAATCGTCGGGCTCTCCTTGAAACACCTGGTGAACTGGACCAAGCGTGAGGACGTGACGGTACCGTTAAGGATGGTATCAGCAAAAAGCGAGCCATACCAAGCGTACGTGTTTCGGTGCATCGCTTGTTGCTGAATTTGCACAAGAAATACGATGCGGTCGCATACAAAGTATATACATTCTCCATACCTGTAATGTCGATTTTTTACGGTATATTTCACAGAACTCCAATTAATTGAGATACTCTTGTAATTTTAGTAATAAAAAAAGACGATTTAATTTCTAGAAATGCAGCACTTGTTTAAACGAATAATAAAAAAAATGCTTAGAGTTTAGCTCCAATTTTTGACTTGAAGTGCATTTTAAGATCCATTATTGTATAAAAATCCTGCGATTTGAGCTAGTCGAGTTTAATTCGTAACTCAATGACTTATCATTCAATGTAACGAAATGCGATACACGTTACATTATCGACGTAAACGTATGGCATAAAGTATTTTTGATTCGATTAAAACGAGATTGCGCTTAGTAACGTCGATAGCGATTATAAACCGCATTAAAATAACGTAACGTCACGAACGACGTAATCGATGTTGCCCCTTGAACTCGAGAAACGGCCTGTCGAATCTAGTACGTACGAACACGCGCGAGTTGGCAGATATTTTGCAACGACAGGCGATTATGAAACGAAGAATACGGGATAGCGGGCTATAAAAATCTGGGGAGAAATGTGCTGTGATAATAATTACTGTCGCCCGTGTAATAAGCGGCGGGCGATGCGATCCAAGGCCGGGAAGTCAAGGACTAGAGATCTCGCGCTTGGAAAGTGAGTCAGCGGCCGAGGTAGACACGGGAACTGGATGGGAAAAATTCACCGAGACGAATCTTACGCAATAGCGAGGAACGAGAATGAAAGTGTGACTGTCGAAGCGGGAAAATCCAGACGAATGATTTAACATTTCCTCCTTCGTATCTCTATCAATATCGATTCATAGACAGAGTAGACTATTGCAAAAGTGGGGAGTGCGAATACGTGAAATTTATCGTCTCTAAATGATACTGCCATTATCTCGAGAAGCAAACAACTTTCTGCGTATGCGATCGCACATGTTCGACGAACGAATGGTGTCATGAATGGCCGAGTCACGAAGTCTCGATTGACGTCACGCTTTAATTATTCGCTAATTTATATCGATTGCTATTATTTATTTTTTATTAAATATTTTTTATCCAACGAGATAGAACGCGAATATCGATTTTATCGATACGTCGCAATGTGTTGAGATTGCGTTCAATCGAAAATACTTAACATGTAAATTTATTTGCTTATTTCGTGTATGTTCCAGATGCCCTCGAGATCACGGTGTTGTCGAGACCACGTCTGAGCAAATAAGTTGTAAGTGATGGATTGAAAGTATTATATCGGTTGCATGCTACAAAGCTAAACATAATGATTATTATTATTAATTAAAATTATATTAAAATTATATTAAAATTATATTAAAATTATATTAAAATTATATTAGATATATAAAAAAGATTATTTTAGATGACCTATAATTCTCGACAAATTTCATGGCAGAATTCTATTCTTACATAATTTCATATATCTTATGTATTATTCGAAGAGATAAAATCTACACACACGTACAAAACACACATACATGTATATTAAAATATACGGGACATAAAATTATAAATAGATTTGTCTCTAATTTTTTTTCAGAGATTTATATGTCGTCGAAAATGGCTCATAATAAATGAGCGTGTTACTTTAATCGGTTGCATTGGAATTTAACTGACTGATGTCTCGTGCTTAATTGTCATATTTGAATTCCCAATTAGCATCATCGGTATCTTTCGCGGAATGCAAATACGTTGACGCAACTTTAAGTAGACGATATTGCTCGTCAAGGAAATATTTGCGGCATGTAAACTTTTATTATCGTCACTTTTGGTTATACAAACTGTAGAAACTCTTTCCTTTCCAAGAAGCCAAGGTTGTTAAGGCTGAGAAAGAAGTTTTACGTCATTATAGGCATATTGTATATGAAACGGGGCCACACACGTAGAGCCACTTTCGTACAGTAACATCGTTCGTGAAATTACAGGAAGTCGCTCTTCGCAAACCATATATTACACAGCGTGAATACGTCTACGAGACATGGAATAGCGGGGATCTCGAATCCACTGGCCATGACCTGTCCTCCACCCACGCGAACGCGCGAAACGATGCGAACACATTGCGTTGTGCGTAGATATTGAGGCTCATAGGGCAAATTGCGTCCGTTTGAAGATTAAGGCGAGAAACACTTCGCGTCCTTCATGATACGGACGTGCCCTTCGTTTAAAATTACGAGACTACTCCGGCTGTATAGCGTAAAAAGCAAGATCAAAGAGCGATTCTTGTACAAAATAATCCGCGTAAATTTTTACATTTTATTGCAAGATTTTAGAATCTCGAATAAGAACGAATAAGAAAAAATTTATTGGTAGTTACACGATGAATTTTTAGTAATGATTTTGAGAAGAATAATGTTTTCTCGATATTATTACTCGTCTACCAATTCATGCACGGTTGCGTGATAACCATTTTTTGTAGAATATATATTTCTGTCTAATATTGTCTCGCAAAATTTATAATTTAGTTTGTAATTTTATAATTTAGTTTATAATTTTAAATTTATAATTTAATTTAGTTTATTAATTCTTGCTCATTTATTACGCGAGGAAAATCACGAAGCGAAAGAAGCGAAAGTAAACTATTTTTGAGCGACGAGTAGACTGCTGATTACACAATTCGTGCAGAAATCGATATTGATTTATCTTCGACGAGCACAACGGAATCCATTATTTCATTGATAGTCTTATCTCATCGAAAGAGGATAGAATTTTTCAATCCCGCGGGATCCGGTCTCATTAACGAACAAGAAACGCAGTTCCCGTCAATTAATGTCGATTACGATCGATCATACGAGTTCAATGTTCGTTGCCGTGTAATCTCGCGAGAAACGCCACCGTTTTCTTTCTATCACTATCGCGTTTGCGTATTTATACATGGAAATGACATTATCCGCCGACAACGCGCAGACAGTATGCAAAATAATGCAAATAACACGTCTAAACCGTGCTTGCCTTCCATCGTTCTATTTACGTAAAGTCCTTGTCATAAAGGTTAGAAAAAGTCTGAAAAGGCATTTAAAATAGCGAAAAAGAGGCCGATAAATTTTCCTTGGCCATCGGGAGCAGTACTAACGGCAATTTCTAAAATGCCTACCTTTCAAAATGCTTTAATATATGCAGAAACTGAACTTTACACTTTTTTATCTGATTTATTATTCCATATGTTGTATCAAGAAAAGAATATTTCTCGTAGAATTATAATGCCAATAAGTTTATGTGTATTTGAAAAAAAGAGGAGGACTTGTAAACGATTTCTTTCGCGCTCTTTTGAATTTTGAAATATGCTGACCTTTTGCATTTTTTACTCTTACATAGTAACATGTAATATGTATTTTTTTACGACAAAATATTGAAACACGGTTAATGTAGCAATATTTGTATCGAAATTCTTTTTCTTAACGCAAGAGAGGTGCGTCTGAAGTAATTATGCGTCGAACGATGTACGCGTTATTGAGACGGCTCTATTAGAGAAATATTAAGTATAATCGCCGCACTGTATGTACTTTTTATGAGATGAACTCCATTGTACTGAACCGCCTCTTATCTGCATCCCACTTTGACGATTACCGAGGCAATAATAAAGACTAGCTAGTTGATAAGAATCGTTTGGATGACCTAATGGTTTATCAGCTATCGCGTGATTCAGCTTTGGTCGATTTAACGTCGAAACGTATTACACGCAGCTACGATCGACTTGGATGTCTTGCAGGTGCTGGCATGTAATGGTGGTAATTATTGTCGGGCTGAGCGTGTGTACTAATTACAGACATTAGGTAATCACCTGTGTGAAACGAGCCACGGGACGTTTTACTTTCGTTCTCGTGCTGCTTGAATACACGGGAAAATTACACAATCTCTTGCTATTATTACAAAGCGTAGTAATTAATAACAGGTCTTTCTACCTCTCATCGAAACGTTACACCGGAAATAGGCGCGCGATGAATGTGTAATATTTCGTTACCGGGTACTTTGTCTGTTTAATCTTGCTTTCCGTCGATTATCGCGCTTATCTTCGCATCGGCAGATAACATGTGTGCGCGTGCATCCAATTTAACTCTTAAAAGTCCACTTCTACCTATCGCGGTGACCTCATTTTCGGTCGTACATCTCTGTACGCGAGTCGTACATCTCCACCGAGGCCACTTGGATTTCTACTCCAAGCTGCGTTCGAAAATATTGATCGATATCGTCGTTACGCGAACGTTTTTACTGCTATCTGCCACGTCGTCTCAAGGACATTCTGAATTATATAATTCTTCTCCAAGGTGATACATTTCATTGCTATCGTCATTATGAATGTTCATCGCGTGACATAAAAACGTATCGTTCGAAAACGCGAAACACACGCGCGCGTGCATCGCATTATCGGCAAACGTAATCACATACGATTTCTCTCCGTTGCAGATACATTAGACCGAAAGATGCAGGCAGCACCGCCTCTGCTGTTGCTCCTCTTGATTCTCCTTCAATCAGGATGGAGCCACGGACTTTGCAAACTGGAGAACAGTACCGTAGCACGGTGCGACAAGCTGGAAGATCTCGAACAGATCGAGACGCATCATCTGGAGATGTTGACGGTTCCGGCCGCACGAGATACTCTAATCCCAGGCCTCTTCGATAATCTGACCAACCTTAGGCATCTTGATATGTCTGGTGGCGATTTGAAAACGATCGAACCAGGAAGCTTTCGAGTTCTGAGTCATCTGAGAAGCCTCGATCTCAGAGACAATCGTATCGAGTATCTGGAACTAGCTTCCCTGGAGGGCCTGATCGAGCTGCGAAAATTGAATTTGCGAAAGAACGCCATCCGACAATTGCCACCTGCGTTGGCGCGTCTGAAGCATCTCAGACACCTGGACATCTATAATAATCCGCTCGTTTGCAACTGCGCTACTCTCAAAGTGCGAGATCTTATCGTGCAGAGGAAAGTGTCCGTGTCGAAGAAAGTCGTGTGCGCAGATCCTAGCAACTTGAAAGGCACATCGTTGATGAAGCCGAGCGCGGCAGTCGTCTGCAACTTCGAACAGCAAGATCGCGAGATGCAGAACGATCAGGCAACGGAAGGATCCGGGATGTATTCGGGATCCGGAGATGACGGTCTGAACGAGTTTAATAGCGAGGAAGAGAATGAGTACATTGTAGACAGCAACGTTAACTCGTCGGAGAAACCTGAAGTAGAAACACCTTCTCCAACCGAAAAGATGGATTCTTCGACAGGATTTTCCTTGACTGAACCCATCATCTCCACGCAAGAGTCGACCACTGTAGAGGATATTACCAGCGCTACAATAAATTCTTTGCAACATACCAACGAAGACGAAGAGCTTTTCTTCGACAACGAAGAGAAAAAGGAGCAAATATCTACGACCGAAATGTCGCGGAAGGAGGAGTTTAAGGACTCCCTCTTTTACCCGACGACGGGTTCAGGCGACGGAGATGAAGATGGTTCAGGCGAAGGGTCTGGAATCATTTGGTCGCCTTATGAGGAGAAAACTGTTGAGAAGAGCAGCACTAATGAAGACTCATCATCATCCATCGCTGGGATGATATGGAATGCGATATTTGGTTCGCCAACTACTGCAATTCCATCACAAACCAAGGATCCGGATCTCGAAGAAGAAGAATTTATAGATGCGTCACTTACTAAAGTAGCCACCGAAGAGCCGAGTGAAAGTTCCTCAATCAAGTCCGACGATAAAATATCTACCGAAATGATTACGATTGCTAACGGTGTAGAGGTGTTGAAATCCTCTGATAAATCCAAATCGGGTAATGTCAAAGCCGAGGTAAACAGCTTGAACGATGAACAGGCCGAAGTATCTTCGGCCAAGCAATCCAAGAAGGGCATGGGCTCGTACATTGTTCTGGCGATTCTGCTTGCCGTCGTGGCAACGTTGATCGGTTTCGCCGCGTACAGAGGCGATATATGCAGGAAGAAGAGAAAACGAGGCGACGTCGAACGCGGCACCGAACTGAGGGACATGCAGAAGGCTCTCCTCCCGGACACCGGGAATTCGACCCAACCGAAGATTGCCTCCAATGGAAATCCCGAAAACACTCCTCTCGTGGAAGGCACGTCCGATGGCGACGACGCGAAGATCGATAAAATTCAAAACGATCATCAGCCAATTCAAGAAACGCCGCGATCTCTCAATGGCACTGCCGATCACCTGGACCCCGTGAAGCCTCCGCGAAAGCTAATTAGCTCGCAGGACGATCAGAAGAGCGAGGATAGACCTCGCATAGACATAAACTCTTTGAGGGAGAACTTCCTGGCGGATAGAACGAGTCCCACCCAGCCATCCGATTCATCGGTAACGACGAATAATGGGCCAAAAGCGCATATGTCGGAGCCCAATGGACCACCGGTCAGTCCTGGAGCTCAAAGAGTGAAGATCACCCTGCAAGAAAATCCCGACAGTGTGCCAAAGACGCCCATACTCATCACGCGAACAATGGCGGGTGAGAATCTAGTCAAGACGCCATGAAGCAGTGTTCTGAGAAGAATTTACGCGACATAATGTCTACGGACGTTATGTCGATCGATCGACATGTTTGTCTATCGAATGGGAGAAAAATCGAAGAGACGAATGTGTAACGCGAGAAGAGAGCTTTTCGATGAATTTATCGTGATTTATAATAACACCGTTGTTCCTAAGCCTACAAGTAGAGAAGCCTCTTCGCGATGGATTTTCGTGATAAAAAAGATTACGAAATTAAAGACCATGTTTACATTTACAACACGTACACATATGTACACGCGCCGACAGTGGAAACGGACACTATTGTTTACGACAGGAAGCTGAAGGTGTGCGGTTAAGATACAGGTGTGATCTCTCTCGAGCCGGTTGAATTATCAGATGCACGAATGGTTATATGTATATATTTGCTATGCCATATAGGATATTTCAGAGATACCGTATTTCTTTCCTTTTCATTTATGATATCATCTTGCCTAAACATTCTTGAAAGTTAAATCTCAAACACAACCTTACCAAGTTTGAATAGATTTGAATAAATTTGCTTGAATAAAAAATCTAACAAGGATTAAAATAAAATTATTAATTTAGCCAATCAATATTAATTACATTCTTAACGACTCTCAACTTAATCATTGAAATTTTACTTTCAATATTAAGGCTGTCATTTCTCAATCTTATTGAGAAAAAAAATGTGCTATATTTATGACATAGTTTACGTCATAGAAATCCACGGGTGAAATAACACGTTCGAGATTAACACCACATACACTAGTCAGTCTTCCTGACAAATCTGCGAGCGAGGATCTCGTATATATGTATATATCCCTTCACTGAGAAAAATATTAAGTTGAAAAGGTAACGAACGGATATTATAACGATCACTTTAATCGGAAAAAAAAGAAACCGATCAGATATCCAATCAGAAAATATTGATTGATCGGATATCGGATCAGAAAGTTCAAAATTCAGAACTTTCCGATCAGATATCCAATTAAAGTGATCGGTATAATATCGGTATAATATCCATTCGTTACCTTTTCATCGGACATTTTTCTCAGTGTTGATATATTTGTCGTCGCACGAGATTACATCGCGAGGATCCTTAAAATTAATCGAAATCGATATGATATTCGCTGCATGTCAGTGAATCGGGAGCATTCCAGTTTGCTGCCATATTTTTCTATGAAAGCTTTTCTTCGAAAGATTTTACACTCCATTGGCCTTATGCCGTCCTTCTATCGAGCTACAGATTATTTGTCAATCGCCTGGACAACGCGTACCTCGTAGTTTTAGCGCGGCGTTTTAGATATATCCGTTTGCGCGATTGGATTTGTAATTCAATGAGAGACGGAGTTTGTCAGTTATGAGGAACGACCTTCGGATCGGCTTGTGACAGTCGGAGTGTGAGTGCTTGGTGAACGATTTGTGTTACTACAGTTATGTAAGACTCGTTATTCACGTCACAGAAAATATGCGTAATAATCCTGTTATCACGTTATTCCTTACAGCGGATACGTCGATTCCCCTCCGGCGAAACGATCTCTTGGAGATCTTCCAGCGAGGCAGCGATACGAATTTTTGTGTATTGCATTAGCATATTTATTCGTCGTGCGCGGTGCAAATTAATGCGGGGATCTACGAAAGAAATAGCACTCCATGGACGTTGATCGCGTTATTATCGGTTAAACGGACGCGTCATATGGTTGTGCGTGAAGTGACAAAGCGCCACATTGTGTTATCATATTATTGTATTATTGATCATTTTATTATTCTAACATACGATTCTTTAAGCCAAATGTGTCGAACGCTGTGTAAGGCGTATATGATTTAATAAGATTTAATCTTAAGATAGCGCGCGGATCCCGTTAGATCGATACTTGTCCCAACGATACGCGCTGTTGAATTTAATTAAGGGAATAGCGATAAAACAAACGGCTCAGTGAAGATTGGAAGACTTTATTTATATGTTCAGTCTTTGATCAAAATAAAAGAGTGTTATTTTGTTGATTTCATTTATTTTAATTCTGCGTTTTATAGATAATCTTCCGCTCGATATCTTTAATCCCGTTTTATGTTTATATCACTAAATGCGTCAGCGATATTGTTGCAATATTTGTTTTATATTCGATTAATCAACGATACGTTCTGATTTTGAAAAAAGACGAGTAAATTACGACACTTGCAGAAGACAATGGAAACAAATAATAGATACACGAAGATATACGGGCGTAATAATATTCTATAAATACCGATACGTATATCTGCTATGTATTTCTATTAAGAATACATAGTTTTAATTTTCCATATCAAAGATTAAGTTGTGTAAACAACTTAAATGAATTTTTACAAATATTGTTTCTTCCATAATAATTAATCTATTACAAAGGATAATGACTGTTATAAGTAAAATGTGCACGTAATATTTCTGTTATCTAAAATTATATATATCTAAAACTATAACAACATGATGATGAATTATTGGAGTATTATTGAGGATACACTCCTGAATGTTTAATGATGTAATTATTTATAATTTATGCGTATTATGTCTGTTCTCTTTTTTCTCCTTTCCGCTTTTTTATTCTATAAATGATATATTAATATGACGATAGGTTTACAACTATAATCTCTAAGTATTCTACTTTTTTCAGATTGATAAGAAATTACTATAATCTGAAATCGATGTTATTCGAACCGGTATAAAAAACATTTGACGTAATGTAAGTAAAAACTCGACAAAAAAGACAAGCAAAAACACTCGTACTTTTGCTCTTTCGAATAAATGTTATTGATTTTACTTGTCATCTGCATTAATCTGTTTTGAGCAATAATAAGATATATTATTATATATTTATCAGATCAATCATCTTATTGTTGCTAATGTTAAATATATAATAGTATTATTCTTACTAACTTTTGTGTCAAAAGAGACAAATTTTACGCTCTCAAAGAACAACGTTTTTGCACGAAATGCAGTAAGGATGCTGCAGAAATATTTTTTTATATTTTTATTACAAATATCAAACAATTAATCGCATGCGTTCAAAATAACTTAACTCAAATGGTTTACGATCCGCGTTCTACGAATGAGTCTCTACAACCACTCCTGGGTTCGCGTCGAAGTTCCCTGATGACGACGGATCGATTGAAATCCATTTGAACGTCGGAAGCCTCATCATCGGTCACATGTTCGTCTTCAAATACCTGCCTCCTCCTTTTCTTCCTCGTGTTGGGAGTTTGCGGTCTCGGTCTATCCTTGCTACTATTGGATTCCAAGGACTCCTCCACGAAGCTGTGCCTCCTGGATCTGCGCGAGGTCCTAGACTGCCTGGGATTCGTATTTTGTGACTGGTCTGTGGTCTCGCAGATATTGCTGCTGGAATTGTTCCTCTCTCTTCTTATCCGTTCCTGCCGACGTTCTTCTCTTCTTAGCAGATCATCCTCGCTTTGAGTTCGCTTTCGGGTTGTCTTCGTTCTTCTTGTCCTCCTCTTCTTTATCCGTAGATTATCCACAGAATTTATGGAGCGCAAAGTACCATCTTCAACGGAGATCTCGTTCAAAGCGTCCATGGAACGAATCAGTCTGGGCATCTGGACAGCCTCCTCATAGCTGGGTGGACCGATTAATTCCAAAGGATTAATTCTGGGTTCCGCTGAATTCTCTGCATCTTCTATTTCTTCTTCCAAACGTGTTCTGAAAATACATTCACCGCATTAATTTCATTTGATTTTATCGTGCTATTGTTGCAGTTAAAAAAAGTGTATTATTTGCAGAATGTCAGATGAGATAATTAAAAATTCTCGTAGTAATTAAATTTATTTACACATGATTTAAAAATTCTATCTAAAAATATAATTGTAATATACGTTTTATTTAAAAATACAATTGTAATATACGTCGGTAACACGTTTTCGATATCTTGGGAGACTAAATGATGTACCAGCTTACGAAATTGTAATTTAAATCTGTGCGCGCGTTGATCGATTGCAGTTCTGGAGAGATATCTATTTTATCTGTTGCAGGTAGAGAGTCCATTTTAAATTGACATTAATACATATTTTTATTATTATTTGATAAGACTAATTTTTGAAAAATATGAAGAATACAACGCGCATGTTAAATTAACTAAATTTTAATTTTAATTATTATAAACAGGGATGGCTTATTGCGAATTTGATAATATATGTGTATCAATTTATATGTATAAATTACAAATAAAATGAAACATTTTAATATTTAGCGCATACTTAATAAACTTGGCAATTAATTAATCGGGAAAGATCCTTACCTTCTTGCGTACAAAAATCGTAATCTTTCTCTCTCTTCTGCCAATTCCTGTTGCTGTCTCTGCTCTAGGACTCTTCTCTTTATTCTCATGGTATGTTTGATGGATATCACGCTGCCACACAAGACGACCAGGATAAGCAAACTGACCATCACCATTCCCCAAGTTCTATCTTTATTATAATATATGTTCGTGTTCCAAGCATCGAAACACGCGGCTTCCCACGAATAACCGGAAACGTTCGCTGGACTTTGACAAATCAAGCTCGATTCTATCGTTTTGCTGGTAGGAATCGTCAAGTATTCAAAGATGACGTAGAGTTGTGTGCAATCGCATCTCCACGGATTATCCCCCAAACGGATCATGGTTAAATCTGGATTGTTTTGAAATACGTCAGGATTCATTGCCTCCGTCAAGCGATTTCCTAAAAATTTATTTACGTTCAATACAGCGCGAGAGAAATACATCAAAACATGTAACATAAATCAAGAAATGATAGATAGAGAAATTGATTTTAAAATACAATGATAATAATTCCTTAATATTTCAACGATCAATCAGAGAATTTTGAAAACTTTTTAATCTTTTATTTCTTTATCATGTATCTGATATCATAATTATTTCAATTATAATTTTAAAAGATTATTAAAAGATTTTAAAAGATTTTAAAAGATTATTAAAAAGAAGTGTTGATTTTGAAAGTGACAATTTTAAATTTTACTATTTACTTGCTGTAATTTTTTTGCAACTTTTTTTTAAATTATAATCTGCTAAAGTTGTTTTTGTCACCTCTATTTTATATTAAAGATTCTTTTTTCTTGTTTATAATAAATAAATTATTTAATTAATTAATAAATAAAATTTTCAATCAAATCAGATATCTTGGATATATTCTTGATTACCGGTAATGTAAGTTAAAACACATACCTGACAAGTCGATTTGCTGCAATGACGGTAAATTAACCAAGCTGTTATTATACAACTCAACGAGTCTGTTTCTTTGCATATCTAATATTCTTAATGTTTTCGATTCTAAACCGGGTGGTATCAATTGCAGTTGATTATTCCTCAAGTTTAGACTTCTGATCCTAGACATGTTCTCCAGAGAGTTTGCATTGAAGCGGCTGATCAAATTAAAAGACAAATCCAGTGACGTGGCGAGAGATGAAAGCTCTGGAAATCGATGTAGAGAGTTATAGGAAAGATTTAGCAGTCTGAGGTCTATGTTCTCCTGGAATGTCATCGTGTGAACATCCTCGAGATTGTTCGCAGATAGATCAAGCATTTGAAGCTTCATTAAACCGTCAAAAGTGCTGACGTTCAATCGCTCTAGATTATTCGCATTCAGGGACAGATGCATCAGCTGCTTGTTCTTTGCGAATATACGATTCGGCAATATACGAATCGTATTGTGAGAGAGATAAACATGCGTTAATGATGGGAAACCATGAAGACCGGGTCTGTCGAGATTACATCTCGATACGTCCAGTTTCTTCAGCTTCGAATGTTGTAAAGTCGAATGTCTGCAAACATATGATGTGTTCCATGTATTCACTTGTATAATTATTATTAAGAATGTAAGAATTAATTGATTAAAAATAAATTTATTTATTTAATGAATATTCGATTATTTTTAATAAAAATGAATTATAGTCAAGTAAAGTTTTATTACCGAGTACTATACACTAACGTAGGATTGTTGACCAATCGTAGTTCTTCTAATTCTGGAAGTCTACTCAAAGTATCTGGATACAGATAATTTAAAACGCAATCAGACATGTCCAACCATCGCAATGTCTTACTGACAGGCATGTCGATAATCTTCAATGGATTTCCGGCGAGATTCAATGTCGTTAGAGCTGGCAGTCCATTCAAAGACGTATTTCCAAGTTCCTTTATATCTAAAATATACAAAACTCTTTTAGTTTGATGCGCATAAACCATGTGTTGTTCACAATCTTATAAAAAATTTATTTATATAATTCTAATTTATATAATTCTCTATAAAATAAACAATATTAATACATATGATTACGTTTTCATACACTATCGCTCAAAAATATTTGGCCACCTAGGTAAATTGTGTTTAAATGACTATAAATAAATAAAAATCATTCATTTATATTAATCTATATATTTAATATCCTTTTATATTAATCTATATTTAAATTCCTTTTTTTTACCATTTTAATATCACGTGGGAAAAAAAACAGAAAATTATTTTTATAAAATATGCGTCGAGAGATGTGATTTTCTGTTCAAATGGCAGCAGATAACTGACGCAAATCTATATCCGTTACATTCTAAAATATCAAATAAATAAAAAAATTCCATGAAACACGTGCCTTTGTAGTAAAAACTTAAAAGTATTCATTCTAGGAAAAGAGCCACAAATACTTTATTTGGCTTTGTAGCTATCTGTTAGTAAACGTGAAGTGATATTTATAATATAGCTATTGAGAACGACTTTCCGTTAGCGCAATAAACAATAAACATCGATGAAAGGCAATAAACACAATTTCGTTTTCGAATTTTCTCTTAAATTAAGGGTGGACAAATACTTTCGAGTGGTAGTGTATATTAAATATTATGTTACATTTTACATATTAAATAATATATGATTAAATAATATATATGAATTAAATTTTATATTAAAAGTTTTATTAAAATTTATATGTTTATATGCATAATTTTAATTTCTAAATTATCTTTAAAGATTACTTTATAAAACTTCTCGAGTAATAAATATATATATATTTATGATCATCTTAATACATACGGCAATGGCCGACATCCACTGCCTGAAGTATCTCGCTGGTCAACCCTTTTAAGTCAAGTAAGTGATTCTTTGAGATGTATAGAATCTTCAGGGACAATAGCTGGCTAATGGAAGCAATATCTGCCATGTTTGCGATAATGTTATCTGATAGATTTAGTCTTTGCAATTTTTTTAATTTTGCAAGATTATTTGGCAAGGCAGTGAGCTTATTCTTGGCCAGATTGAGATGTTGCAGTTCAGTCAGTCGATTAATTTCATCCGTGATTTCAGTTAAAAGATTGTTCGACAAATCTAGATGCTCTACCTATTGCAAAGAAATTAATTTTAAAAAGTAATATATTTGTGCATAAATATAATATATAATTTATTCTAAATATATGGACTAATTTAAAAGAATGCTTCGTATGCGTATGTGTATGTGTACGTAAAGTATGTAATATTATAAAATACTTCTTCGCATTATTCATAAAACTGCATGTCGATACTTCAACCGGTAATGATTCATTTATCTTGATTACGTATCTTTCTCATGATTCTTACTTTGTTGTACATTTACTTTGTTATCGAAGTAACAGCACTACTTTACCTCATTTATAAACGCGATAAGATGCAATAAGCCAATATTACATCTTGTATTCAATCATCAGTGCGCTTAATTATAGAGAGATTTACGCGCGATTAAAAAAAAACGATAAAAAGATTTTACAATAAATTTATACACTCACAATGTCACTGATATTTTCGGGGAATGTCTGCAATCCTTGCCTCGAGCACTCGATAGTCCTAGGTATATGAATGAAGTGACATAGACACCTGGCGGGGCAGACGCTTTGACAGCTCGCAATCGACAAAATCATCAGCCACGAGATCAGCATCATCGTCGATCGTTCCTCCATGTTCTTTTATGATCATTAAAACGAGTCAGGTCGTCGAATAATCGCGCGTAAGCCACATTCTCGCCCGCAATTCACTTCGTCATCGTTATCGAAATAGTATTTGCGAGCTTTCGATCGCGCGGTATCATCGCGCGTCACAAGATTGCAACGAATCGATCGCCGAGGAGCCCTCCGTCTACGAAAATCGATGATTGAGCGCGGTTTCAGCGGTTTCTCCGAACAACGCTGAAAGAGTACTGAGTTACTAGTTATCTGTGATAAGTAACGCTAGGGTACACGCCGCGCGATATCTCCGTAAGATAACCAGATTGCCTCAGATTGTCGAGATGTTGGGAACATTATGCCGTACAAAAAAACAAGAAAAAATAGACTTTGACGAAGATAGAAGTATGGTGAATGCGTCCGCAATGTGTGGTTGCGCACGATAAGTGTGAGACATATCATCCATATCATTATCTATATATCTCATTCCTAAATGAAAAATCTTATCAAAAATTATCTTATTTGGTCAAACTTTACATAAGCATTCGTAACATAAATAGTTAATTTTATATTTAATCTTATATTTTTATCTTTTATATTTAACTATTAACTTTTTTTTTATTATGAATTAATATTAATTATGATAGGTTCTTAATGTTCGCGATTTTTTTACGCTTATCCCCATAATTTATATATTCAAATTTTAACGCTCGTAAAACTTATAAATTTTTCATTATTGATATTAGCATCGCTGAGTTATTGAGACATGGATATTTTAACGAGCTTTGACCGTAGATCGGAGCGTTTCGTCGAAAGCGGCAATCCAGGAAAGCAGGTTTTTCCGTAGAGGAGACATGAATGGAAATTTGCATGGGCAGTGCCCCGGAAAATGTAAGACATTAGATAAATATCTCAAGTATCCCGAAAGCCGATATTGAAGCGGGCATCTCTGTGGTCTAAGCCTCTCTTGGCTGACCCATGCGGATATTTTCCCCTTCTTCTCGTCGCTGTCGTCGCATTACGATCTTTTTTCGTCGTTTTTTTTCCTTTTTGATCCGATAGGACTGTATCTGCGGCTCCTTCTGCCCGAAACGAACATCCGACCTAGAGGATTAAGTCAAATACAAGATAGCTCGTTATATTTATATCGTATTATCGATATATATACGCCGTTGATTATCAGATGTAATACAGCCTATTATCTATGATAGTTTTGTAAATTATAATTATAATTGGAAAAATTATAGATTTATAACAATCATAAAACGTATAAATTTTGAATTATTAAAATAAAGATAGGGGGTTTTAAAATTTTGCGGGAGATTAAATTTTTAAGTGCATAATTAAATTAAAGAAGTCGCAAAAAGTGAATCATAGATCTTATAAATAGAAGAATACTAAGATTTATAATTGAGATATATATTTGTTTCAGCAACAAGACATATTGGACAAGCATTGGATTGCATTAATCTCTTTAGTAGGACAGATTAATTATGCTGATACAAATTATGCTGATACATCTTGATGCACAGAACGAAAGATTATAATGTGAAGCAAAATTCAATAAAAGTACACCTTTGAATAAAAGTACACCTGTGAGATTTAAAAATAGTTCAGCTGATCGTAATGATAAATGTAATGCAAATTAATCTAATGACGTATGCAAATTAATCTGTGCATAAAATAGCCGAAAGTTTGCGGTGAAAAATCTCGATGGAAAGCTCCACCCCTCAGAGAGAGGGATTTAAAAAGATTCTATCCGCGCGCAGGACTGACTCGCTCTCTTTTTCACACGTCCGGACCAATGGGGAGGGTCCACACCCTCGAGAGGGTGAGAGGAGTTTAACCAGCGCCGGCGCTTAACCCTAGGCTTATCCGGTGGGGAAGAGGACGTGTTCTACCTGTTGATACTAAACCAACCCCTTTGCTGCGATTTCGCAAATCCGGAGTTTCACATCGTACACGCGGTCACGCCCTCCGGCTCAACAGATATCCGCAATTTTCCAAGTAAAATTTCCTTCCAAAATGCGTGATTTTATTGTGATAAATATTGTATTCCGTAAAGACTAATATAAGATAAATTATTCATAAGATTAAATTTTTTGACAAATCCGAAAAAGAGGAAATTTAAGCTGCTCGACAAGTAAGATATCATTTAGTGTCGCATCCCTAAGGCCCGGTTGCACCAAAATTATTTTAGCTTTAAGCGAAACTTAAATATATGCCTGTCTTTATTTATTTAGAAAAAAAGATGAAGATAGACATATATTTAAATCTCGCTTAAAGTTAAAATAACGTTGGTGCAACCGGGCCTAAGACAGATGGAATATATAATATTTCTCGTTATTCGTTAACATATGATAATCATTTAACGTTGTATTAAACTATTAAAGTCTCGTAACCTTATCCAATATAATTACAGTCTAATAAATCGAATTTGCCTAAAAAAACGTAAATATAATATAATTGAAAATCGATTCTCCCTCTTATACATCGATTCCTAATTACTTTTTTTAGGGATTTTCTCTCTCTTTCTCTGATTTCTCTTTCTCTTTTAATCTACAAGTGCGTATGCGATAAGGGTTGCGAATATTCACGCAATATCGAATTCGTACTAGTAAGTACCGCGAAATAAAGACTTCAGCCGCGAGAATGGCTTCGGAATCGATCATCTCGACGCGTCGATTACTCACGCTCACCCTTGCACGCCGAATACCAACGAACCAGGTAGCAGATAGCTATAATTAAAAGTCGATCAGGCGGAGTCCTCCCAGATAAAGAGCCATCGCCCGCGCGAGCGTACAGTACGCGCCAATAACGATCATCTCAGTCATCTGACTAGTGCCAACTTGTAATCAGCAGAGCCAACGAGGAAATTTTAAATAAATATGAGATTTTTATAGATAATTTTATAGATAAATGTCAGTGAGACATTTCTAAAAATTTGAAACAACTGAAAATATTGTATAAAATTTATTAACGCAAAGATATGTCGAAAGATTAAATAAGAAAAAAGAAGATATCGAATACAAAATAATAAATGATTCATGATTCTATTGCATTGCAAAAAAATGTAAAATTATCTCAAAAAAATCATGTCTTGTCAATAATGGAGAAGATGGCTTTCCTTTATTGTAAAATATCGAGTAGATAACTATATCTCCTTATTAAGACAAGAGAGAACAATGATAATGATCTACTTGTTCTACTTGATTATCGCGTGCGAAATGAAATGATTAGAACCGCGATTAAACCGTTCATCATCTTAGCTTTCTTTCAGCATCGCGCGAACTGTCACCGCAGGACGTATTCTGATGCACGTCCCTCCATCGCGAAATGTCTCGCCAGCGGATCGGTCCCCTCGTCAACTATTGAGGGCACCTGTACCGAAGAGGATATAATACCGGCGCTATCTGGAGTATATTTTTAACGCCTTCATTTCCGGCCGCGCTGGGACACCGGAAATAGCGGGACGATACCTCGCGGTGTTTCAGGTATTGATCAGTTCGAGGAGCCGGTGCCATCCACCCACTCACCCACCTACCCCCGGCGGATGAGGCAGGGAGGAAGGGAGATGCACGGCTCTGCAGACTCCAAGCTTCGACCTCCTCCCTTTTCCTCCCCCTCGCCGACACGACCCCCGCGTTCCCGCTACCCTTCCGCGCCGCCGCCAACGTCCCGCTGGCGACGCCCCTGTCCTGCCACCCCCAACCACCGGCAGCGGCGTAACGTCGAAGATGGATCTTTAGGTATCTCCGCCGTCTGCGCTCGGATCTTCGGACTACGCTCCGCTGGTTCGGAGCAAACGAAGGGCGGCTGGGTGGCTGGTGGGGCGCGTTTTTTAGGAAAGAAGCGGGAACGACGGAATGAACTTTGTTGCCTCGCGATTGCGGCGACACATACACAGGGGGGTGGCATCGATGGCCGCGTCGATGACCGGAATATGACTTGTAGCAAACGATGAAAGGATTTGAGAGGCCGAGAAAATTCGGATGGACTTGATTCAAAGGCATCGATGGCTTTGAGATGGATGTGTACAAGAAATTTCTCGATATTAATAATAAAATTAAATGTGAATGAGGAAAAAATTCTTCGATGTTCACGAACTATAATAAAAGTACTAGTATAATAATTAAAAGTAATAAAACGTTAAGCTTAATAAGAGGGGGTATTTTATTTATGAAATTACAAATGGAAGCAAACCGAATAAAAATAGAAATAATAATCAAAGCGAGAGTAATAAAATCTTGTTGAATATCTCGAAGAAAGCTATAAAAAATATATAAATATATAGAAAGTATATAAAAATATATGAAAAAATACATAAAAAAAATTATGATTAAAAATGTAAGATGAATATAGTAAATAAAGATGTTACTTTTTAATTTTTTACATAACGTATTTATGTAAGCGTTTTTGAATGCACTATAATAAAAGGATATTTATTAGTGAAAATTTAGAATGTATTGAATGCGCGTGTTTTCTTTTTTATTTATATATCATGAAAATAATTCCCATTCGTTCATGCTATCTTATTTTGCGACACAGGTGGACGAAGACATGTGGAATATTATGCTCGCCGATTCGCGCGATTTCGGAGTGATTTTATTTTCCCTAAACGCGTCCCCACCTCTCTCCTTAAGCCGGGTTATAAATAACGGCTTATCTTTTGTCGGCTTCAACGCCACCGCGACCCCGTACAAAGCCAAACTCTAGCCCTCCTGGCACATCCTCTCCGCCACCTTTTATGCCTTCGTAAGGGGGTCGCGCGCGAGAAGACGTCTCTTGAAACGTGCACTCGTAATTGCTTTGGCGTGTCCCTAAATCAAATCCTGCGATTTTTCCGCGTTGAAGAACACCTACCTACGTGCGTTTCGCAGAGAAATAAAGCTATGATCACAATACAAACTTTCACCTCAAATATTCAATCAAAGCTTCAATCTACAAGCCTTGCAATAATTGAAAAGACATTTCTGACAAATCCCTTGCAACCCCATACAATTTCTAAAAATAAGATTCGACGATTAATATCTTATCTTTCTCTCGTTTTACTAAGAAGCATTTGTTAGCTCTCATTATTTTTAAAATAACATATGGAAATATATTTAATATACATTTTTATACATATAGCTTACCGTATAAATCATTATGCTCGTTTTGTTTTAATCGGAGCAAAGGATTAATTAACGACAGCTTTCACGTGATATTATTTATATATTCGATAGAGAGTTATATACGTATATCGACTCTCTCAGACATTGCCTGTAAGTAGTTAGACCTTTATGATGTCACGTATTTAAACTTCATAAGCGTGATTAAGCGCTAACTTGTTCAAAAGCTGCCATGTA